TCCAAAACGAAACTTGATCTACCCCTCATTTTCTCCCATCATTCCTCATTTTTTCCAGTGTTGTTTCCCCCCTTTCTCATCTTGTGTGTTATGTGTGAGCTTTGAAGTCTAAAAAATCATTTTGGTGCACTTTTCGGATGTTCCACTTAAAAATGTATGACGATTTAGGAGAGAGTAGGAAAAGGGCCCCACACACACACACTATTTATATATATGTTTTTTTTTGTGATGATGCTCGCCTTGCTCATGTTCAGTAGTAGTTTTTTTTGTTGTTTGCTGTTTTTGTTTTCATCAGCAACCAGCTGTTGAATCAACGTCATTATTATATTAATTATCACTATTTTTCAAGCTGTTAGGAGAGAGAGAGAACTCTTGATTTTTTTGGCTTTCTAAATTTTTTTGGCGGTTACTTTTGAAGAAAAAAAATGACGATTCAACCGGAAACTGCTTTTTGACGTCATGCATCATATGTCCATTTTTCTAAAAGACTTATTTTTATGAATTTGTGGAATTTGTAGAACTTTTTTGTTTCTTTTTCTAGATAGAAGTCTAGAAAAATTTAAAGAACTTCAGTGAATTTCTAGAAATTTGTTGTATCAGACTAGAGCCGAAGTCCGAAGTCGTAGGCAGATTTTAGAAATTTTTTCAGATCTTATGAGTTTTGTACCCGAGCTCAAGCTCTTTAGATTTTTCAAGCCTTTTTTTTTAGACAGATCGAGTTCTGAACATTGTATTAGAATTTCTCTTCTGAAAATTCTGAAAATCAGAAAATTTTTGTCAAAATTCAGATTCAGAGCTCAAATGACCCCCCAGAAGATCCCTTTAAAATTTTTCCCACTTTTTGAATATTTTCCAAGAATTCAAAACACAGAATTTTGATTTATTGTGTTTGTTTGAAATTTGATGAAAAATTCAATTTCTTTGTTCAAGATTCAATAAATAATCTTTAGGTTACTGTATTCGGAATTCAAAATTTTCAATTAAAATTTTCAATTTCTTTGTTCCCGTGATCTATGATTGAATAGAAATATGTCAGATTACTGTAGAGGAAATTCAAAATTTAGAAATTCAATTTCTTTCTCTCGTCAGTGATTTATACTTGAATAGAAATATCTCAGGTTACTGTAGGTAAACCTGAAAATCAGAAATTCAAATTTCTTTGTCTCAGCTCACATTCAGAGATGCATGTGATTTATACTTGAATAGAAATACCTCAGATTACTGTAGGGAACATCGAGATTGAAAATTTCCAATTTCATTGTTCAAGATGTTCTTCGCGTCATCTGACTGAGTTCCTCTTGAAAAATTGTTCTTTGTAAGAAAGATCTCATATCCTTTTCTGAATGTGAATATTTTTGATGATTTATGTATTTTTGATTTTCATCTTCAGATTCCTCTGAATCTCAAATATTTTTTTCTAATTCACATCCAGATTCTGAAAACTTCTAGAACTAAAAACAAATAAAAATAAAACTTTCTCGACTCGACTCGACTCGTCAAAGTAGATTTTACGACATTCAACTTTTACCCAAAAACTCGCTTCGCCTCACAAAAAAAGACAACAATCGGCGACAGCAAAAAAAATAGAAATCCAACTCCCACACCCTCCTTCTTCTTCTTCCTTTTCATACACATAATTTTTTTCTCGCTGTTTCATGCTTTTCATCTCAACTTAGCTCAACTTTTCTTCTTTTTTTTTCTCGCCTAACTCCAGTGGCCTCACGACGTCTAAAAAACAAAGACCATCCCAAAAACTTTTGACGCGTCTTCTGATTCATTTTACATATTTGCATAGAAGGAAGGACCATAAAAAACAAAAAAAGATTGACAAATCCTAGGGTGGCTCATTGAGCTCTGGTTTTGGACAGAAAGAGCAAAAAAAAAGAAAGGCGATTTCGGTTGCAACATAATTCTATTTATGCGTTTTTTTTTCTTTGAGAAAATTCATTTTTGTTGAGATTTTTTTGACCAACAGGAAAAATAAAAACAAACCTTAACCCTCTGAAACATTAGACTCCTAATTTTAGACCTCAAAGCTTTAAGGATTGATTGACTCGAGTAGAAATATTTTTCAAGTTTGGCCTGACTCATGTCCGAGACTCTTCTAGACACTTGGAGAGATCTTGAAAACCTTCAGACACGAAATTTTTTCCTAAAAACTACAGTAGTATTTCTCATTTTCGAACTGATATTTGCAAACATTTTTCTCATTTCAAAAACTTGTGAGATCTTTTCTCCAAAAATTCTTTGATCCGATTCAATTCAATTCGAAATGAAATTCGTCATTTTTATTGCTCTTCGAGCAAAAAAAAATCGAGCACACACACACACACACATAGACAAAAAAACTTTGGGGAAAAAACTAATGAATTTTCGCACATCTCACTCACACCCTCCCAATAATATTTATTTTATTTTCTCCGCTTGATGTCAGTTTTTTTTTTCATTTCGAACCTTTTGCGAGATGTGTGAGTTCAGATAAAAACGAATGAGAATGTTGCATTTTTCATTTGATTGACTTCACCCTCACATTCTTTCTTTTTTTTCAAATTAAGATTTAGATAAGAAGGGTGGACGGGTTACTGTAGCTTTCGAATCTTCCCCGCAAACCCCCCTGAAAGCTACAGTACCCAATTATCCAAATTGAATGGACTTCTGAACGTTTGTAACAAATTTAGCAATCTGTTTTTTTGTCCCCTTTTTTTCCGTATATCTTTTCATCTGAACAATTATTCTCCAATTTACAATTTGGATTAGTTTTTTTTTGCTGCTTCTGCTGTTTCCCGTGACTTTTTCCTGAATTTTTTACATTCCGAAGAAAAAGTTTTTTGTCTACATTTTTTGTTGTTTTGCATTTGTTTCGAACCATTTTTGAGCCTCATGGATTATGTTTTTTTCGGTTTTTTTTTTTGGGAGGCAAAAAAATTCCATTTCATTTTCGATGGAAGAAAAAAATCATCATCTTGTGTTTTTCTTCTTCTATTTATGAGAATAAAAAGGGCAAAGGCGACAGAGGAAAGAAAAAAGAAAAACAATTATATCAGGCCAAGCACTGAAAATAACACGACTTTTTTATTTCGTATTTATTTTTATCCCCGCGTTTTGCTCCAGAATTTTCCGAAATGATATCATTCACTAATTATTTTTAATAGGTCTACAATTTTTGTAAGAGATCACACGTTTCTTTTCAAAAAAAAAAAATAAGAGAAAGAAAACAAAAAAATTGTCTGAAGTTCATCGAGCTCATTAGGAATTTCCGTTTTGTTTTTGAAACAGAAATATGCAGGGGGAATATTACTGTAGGTCTGAAAGGAATCTTAAGTTTTGCAAAACACTTGGGATCTGAAAATTTTCAAAAATATTTCTACATTTTTATTTTTGAACTTCGGAAAATATTGGGCACCGGGAATCGAACCCGTGACCCTGAAATTGATAGACTTCACAAGATTTTCAAATTGTTTCTCCTAATCAATTTATCATTTGTCAATGACGACAAGATCCGAAACACGAAAAAACACCAATTAACAATTGTTCAAAAATAATCAAAAAACACCCACAAATTGGTTAAAAGAGCAAACAACATCCGTTATTTTTCCTTTCATCTCAATTTTCTTTTTTTCTTCCACCCCCATTTTTTCAAGTCTGATCGATTCATTAGAGAAGTTCATAGAGATTTTTTCATGTTTTTTTTTCTATCTTCCGAAAAAATGAACAAAACTGATTTTCATTCATTTTTATTTCATGTTTCTCTCACTTTTTTTTCGAAGAGCATCAAGAAAGAAAGGTATTTTTTGATGTGTAATGAAACGGCTGCGGCGAGCACAAAAAAACTTGAAGATAGATATATACAGACGTCTGAAAGATACGCATGATGATGAATTTTTGTGTTGAGTGTGTGTGTGTGTTTTTTTTTCTTTTTGGAAGTCAATTCTGACGTGATTTCCTGTGGCTTTTTGTCAGTCACAAGTCATGCGTTTTGATTATTCCGTTCATCTTTTTTTTTACTTCCAGCTTTTTTTGGGCGGGAAAAAAATCGGACATTGTTTTGGGCTAGAAGGCTGAAAATCTGAATTCTGGAATTTTGATTTTTCAAGAAATTTCCCCAAATTTTTCAGTTCTTCAGAACTAGCCTTTGGAAATCTGAAAATTCCGAGAATTTCGAAAAATTTCCAACACAAAGTTTTTTAGAATTTCAGAATATTTCAAAATTTTTTGAAGATTCTTGAATTCATGAATTTTCCGGTTCAAAGAATCTGAAAATTTCATGGGGCCATTCAATATATTTTTTTTGGAATCTTTTTTTTGCTGAAATTATTCTGAATCCTAGAACTTTAAATATATGTTTGCCTGTGCTGAAATTCAGAAATTCCTCATTTTCCTGATCCGGACTTTTTGTAGATTTAAATGTTCTGAAATTCATTATCTGGATTTTTTATCTATCATTCCCTAGTTTGTTCTGATTTTGTTTCTTTTTTTCCAAATTTTCAAGAACTAATTCTCATATTTTTCCAGGAATCCCAGATTCTGCGCGAATCTCAAAAAACATTTCCTCTTGGCTTCGAAACATCCACCTTCAACTTCTTTAATATATTGGTAAGTGACATCATCTCCTGATTTTGATTGATGCATAAAAAATGAGAAAAAATAATAATAACGTGTTCAAAAATGACGGATGAATTGCAAAGTTATGTGTATTCATCGAAATAAATTAACTTCGTCTACTATTTTGTCGCTGCTCGCTTCACTCATTCATTCATAAACAAGAAGAAGAAGAAGAAGAAGAAGCAGCAGCAAAAAAAGAGGCTGAAAAATAATAGTTGAATAAAAAAAAGTGGGGCGGAGTTTTGGAACGAGACTAGTGGGTAGAGGGAAAAACGGCATATACATACCTCAATTTTTTGAGTTGAGTTGAGTTTGGGCACAAAACTGAAAGTATTTTTTTTTTGCATCTGTTCATTTATTTTATGAAAGTGAAGTGAAGAGAAGAGTTTTGTGGTGGAATGAAGAATTATTCTACTTTTAGTGATCAAGGTTAGTTTAAGATTTTTTAGGATTTTTTAAGTGAAACTTTTTGGAATTCAGAATTTTATTGTTAGATTTTTCGGGGATTGGTGATAAAAAATAGTCAGAATTCATATATTCGAGAAAAAATTTAGTTCCAATCCAGAACTGAATTTTTTGAGATTTTCTGGAACATTTTGAGATGAAAAATTTTACATGGAACTTTTTCAGATTTTATTTTTTGGAAGTTTTTTTTTCAAAAATTTTCAAATTAGTCTCGGTTTTTTAAAAAACCATACATTCAATTTAAAATTATCACAGCTTTTCTGAAAATGTATTTTTCACCTGTAAAATTTTCCGGAAAGTCTGAATTCTTTGATCTGAAAAAATGTCCTCATAAGAAAAAAAATTCAGAAAGTTTTGAAAATTCTAGATTTTCATATTTATTCCAAGGCATCTCCTAGTTTTCTTCAAGAATCTTTAATTTTGAAATTTGAGTCACCAATTTTTCATTAATGGAATTCTTTGCTCATTTCAAAAACAAAGTTTAACCAACATTTTTCATTTTTCTTTCAAAATAAAGCACAAAAATCAATGCTCTAATGGTGGAAACGATTATAATTCATTTTGAAATGACAGACTTGTCAACTATTTTCCGATTTGTTCTCTCTTTATGTTTTTCATATCTCCTCATGAACGCACAAAAAGTGCATCTGTGGTGAAAAGCGTTTTCATCATTTTCATTTTCATTTCACAAAGTCACATGTCATAGGTTTTTCGTTCGTTTGAAATCCGAAGCCTCCTAACTTTACCCAACTCGTGATGATTGAGAAGTGTATTACCAGTTGAAAAGAGGAACATTGGACAAAAAAAACATTGAAAACAGGTCTTTGTGGTATGAGAAGTTCTGAGAAAAATTGACTTCAGGAATTTTAAACTTGTGTTTTTATCTGAAATTTTGAAATTTTTTTAAATGTCAATATTATCTTGAATTATGGAATTCTGAAAAAGTGAAAATTGGGTTACAATTTTGAATTTTAAGATTATTCAAGCGGCCCAGGTTTTCGAGAAAAGTGGTTCGATATTCAGGCCCAATTCGGAATTTTTCTCGGACTGGCCTGATTTTTTCTGTGGTCTCGATTTCACTGAAAAACACCAGGAATAAGTAGCTCAAATCCAAATGTGAACATTTTTTCGATAATTTTTGAACTTTTTTTTCGATCTGGAAATTCTTTAAAAAATTGCTTTAGAAAATAAGCTAAGGATATCGATTTACGTTCCTTTTTTTCGAAAAATTGGGGTCAAATTCAGAAATCCTTTCTGATGCTGTGCTTCAGAATCTAGATTTTGATATTTTTTTAATTATCCAATTAGTACTGAAAATGTACCTTGATGCACTTTAGAGATCCTAAAACTCATTTCTGATTCCTCCAAGCTGACCCAAACCTCCCCCCAGAAAAAAACTGGGCGGATTAGGTGTCACGTATGTACATGTAACAAGAGCAGTTTTTAACGGACATTGATATATTTACAAAAAGTATTTTAGCGCATCATTACATATTATTTCCTCTCTTTTCTCCCAATCTATTCATCATTTCATTTTCCTGTGAGCACTCTTATTTTTCTTGTTCTTATTATTATTGTTTTTGACATTGAAAGGAAGAGAGATGGCAAAAGTTCATGGTAAGCTAGATAAGCTTGAACAGGCGAACACACACACCGAATGAAAAATAAAAGTATCCAATATCCAATAGACCTCTTGTTATTTCATTTTGCTTGTTTTTGTTTCTAGGTATGACATCGTCTCCACCACCTCCTGATTTGTTATCGATACCGGGAAGTGAGTCGAAGAATGGTCGACCAAAGTTTAGTAGTGGAAGTGAGGAATCGATTCGTCTTGGATCTCGTGTAACGTTTACTGATCAAACTGTCTCGTTTGAAAATGGTGAAGGGGTGAGTAGGGGTTTAGAGACATTTGTGGGATTTGAGTGAACTCGGTTGAAAGCTGAAAGGTGATCGGGTTCTCGATTTCCAATTTTTAAATTCTTTGGGCCTTTTAAACTTGATCTACCCCCAGAAGAACACAATTCTTCAGACTTACGCTAACTAGCATGGAATCTAGAATATTAAAATACTCTTTCAAACAAATCCTGAAGCGATTCCTTTAACTTCAAAAATACACAAACAGTAAACTTTTTAAAAATTATGATTTCTGAAAAATATAATTTCAGATAATTTTTCTAGTGTCAAATTCTAAAAAATGTCAGATACATTTTTTGGATCATTTCAACTCTCTGAAATATTTTATTTTTCCATAGAAAAAATCTCTTTCCCGACCAAAACCCAGACCACCCAGTGTTTTTTGATTCCTGCATTCATAAGTTTTTGATGAAAAATATGCATTGTCTGAAGTGCTCGAAATAGTAAAATCATTTGACGAAATCTCGTGTCTTTTTTCCTCCTCCAAAGACACACAAAAAAAGACTCATCTGTGGATGTACTATGAATGTAATCAAATAAAAGTGGCCACTGACACCTAGATGGCCCCCGACTTTTTTTTGCTCATCTCATTTCAAAATAAATTGAAGCGGGGGATAAAATTGGGTGAACTTCTTCTTTTTTTTGCTTCTCTTGTCTTGTCAAGAAAATAGACAAATCTGATTAGAACACAATGTTGCTATTTTTAGATTGGGGAACAATTATTTTTCAAAAAAAAAAAGAAAAACGAAAAAAATAAGGAAATTATAGAGTGCGAAAAGACCATTAAATAATTTTTTATGGTTTTCAGGAAAATGGCTCGGGAGCTGTACGATTTGTTGTTGAGGCTGAAAATGCAGATCGAGAAGAATGGGCAAACAAGGTATATTTGAAAGGGGCTATGCAGATTAATATTTTTGGAAAATATCACATGGTTTTTGGTTAAAGAAACGAAAACGCTGAGAGAAATTCTTTAGTAGGAGCCGCCTCTACATAGAAGTAGACTCTGGCAAGGAGCCGCGCCTTGAGAATTAGCCGAGTCTAATAATTCTAGTTGTCAAGTAGCGACTTCTAGAGACTTCCATTGTCAAGCAATCGCGCTTAGACACATTTTTGAACTTTTCCAGTTATCATGAGCACTTAGAGAACTTCAAAAGAAAAACTTCAGCCTTCAACATTTTCGGACAGACTTTTCATAATCTTTGAAAGGACTAATGTTTTTCAACACGTTTGGAAATTTTATTGCAATATTTGAGGCCCACACCTTGTTTCTTCTGTAGAACACAAACTATAAAAATTTCTTGGTAAATTTCATTATTCCCAGAAATATTATCCTGCATCGGCCCATTGTTCAAACACCAAAACACACAAAACATATTTTTTGCAGACTCAATTCTACATGGGCGTTGTTTCATATGCAGTCGGACTTGGAAACGTCTGGCGGTTTCCATATTTACTGCAGAAAAATGGCGGAGGTTTGTTCGAAAGAAATTCCATTATTATTATTTTTCTCATTTTACTTACTCATCGAGAAAAAGAATGACTGGGAGACAGAAAGAAATAAAATATAAAGAAAACTGAAAAGAAAATAAAAAAAATAGAAGAAAGGAAAAAAAGAAACAAAACATTGGCGAGCAAACTTGTTTTTGTTTTTTTTTTCGTTATAATAAAACGACTAGGTTAATCGTAGATGAAAAATGGAAAAAGACAACTAATGAGGGAACCTTTTTTTATTCAAGAAAGCTGAAAATTTCAGCTTTCAACCTCAAAGCTGATTGTGAGAGCTGTGTTATTTTCAAAAAAAAAAAATAATTTTGTTATCTGAAAATTTTTTTTTGAAAATCCTGTTCGTAGTAATAGGACCAATTCCAAATATTTTTAAAGTTCAAAACTTGAAGATCTTCAAAATTTTTTGTATTCTCTCTGAATCCTAAACTTCCCAGTTCTGATTTTGTACTATATTTTTCAAATTTGGTTTTTTTGAGTTTGAGTTACCACAAGTCCTTCATTCAAAATACATTATCAACATTTTTATAATAAAAATTCAGATTATTTTTGAACAAACTGAAAGAAAAATTTTGTAACCCTGAAATCCAGCAGACAAAAAAATTCCCAATATTTTTTCCAGGAGCATTCTTAATACCATACATTATAATGATGGGTTTGGGTGGACTTCCATTATTTTTGATTGAACTCGGAATTGGACAACGATTACGAACGGGTCCGATGGGTGTTTGGGCGGCGATTCATCCGTATTTGGGTGGTCTTGGCGTATCAGCTGCAATTGTATCATATCTCGTCGCCATGTATTATAATGTCATTGTTACTTGGTGTTTGTATTATCTTTTCAAGTCTTTCACGCTGGAACTTCCGTGGAGTGTTGGTTTTTTTTTTGAAAATTAGAGGAAAGTTCTGAATCTCATCAAAAATATTTTTCCAGGAATGCCCGAAATACAGTAATGGAACTGAAATTGAAGAATGTGCAAAACAAGGTGAAGCATCATATTTCTGGAATCACGAAGCTCTTGAAACCACTGAATCAATTAGTGATTTCGGAGGATTCAATTATCATATTTTGACAGCTCTTGGAGCAGCTTGGCTTTTGATTTATCTTTGTGTGAATAAAGGGATCAAAAGTTCAGGAAATGTTATGTATATTACTGCGATATTTCCGTATATTGTCACTTTTATGTTCTTGATCCGATCTGCAACGCTTGAAGGAGCTATGGCTGGAATCAGTCATATGTTCCATCCTGATGTGAGTTTTTTGACAATCTCATCTCTTCTTTAAAAAAAACTTTTTTTTCAGCTCGCAAAATTATTGGAGCCAACAGTTTGGTTAGAGGCAGCAACTCAAATTTTCTACTCAATGGGACTTGGTTTTGGGGGATTAATCGCTTTCGGATCATACAATCCATTGAAAAATGATTGTAAAAAAGACGCGGTTCGACTGGCTTTGGTCAATATTTTCACATCAATCTACACAGCTGTCAATATTTTCTGTGTCTTGGGATATATGGCAACTCGACAGATTCATGCTTGTATTGAAGAGTTAGTTGAAATACATATTTTCAACATCAATGATTTTTGTGTTCCAGAGACAAAGTTCATTTGCATAAACTGTTCCCGGAAGAATTTCCATATTTGTCAAATGTTACTGATCGTTTCAGTGATGAAGATATTTTGAAAATGATTGAGAATCGATGGACTGGAGACTTTACAAGAATGACATCTGTTTCAAAAATGTGCAATTTCGAGGCAACAATCTCAAAAGCTGCTGAAGGAACTGGACTCGCGTTTGTTGTTTTCACCGAAGCGATTCTACAATTTCCAATTCCACCATTTTGGTCAGTTCTATTTTTCTTGATGTTACTGAGTCTTGGATTGGGTTCAATGTTTGGAACATTGGAAGGAGTTATCACATCATTAAATGATTCAAAGTTGGTGACTCTTCGCAAACCAGTCATGACTTTCATTCTTTGTCTTTCTGCGTTTTTGGTTGGTCTTCCTTTTGCTTCAAAATCTGGACAGGTGAGTATTTTAGAAAAAGTAGATCAAAAATATTTTTATTCCAGTATTGGGTATCCTTATTCGACAGTTTTGCTGGATCCTACGCTTTAATGTGTGTTGCGTTCCTTGAAATTGTTGCTGTTTCATATGTATACAAAGAGCAAAGATTTTCTGATGATATTGAATATATGACTGGAAGTCGCCCTGGTTTATATTGGAGATTCACCTGGAAAATCGCCACTCCTTTTATGATGTTGGTTTTGTTCATTGCGTCGGTTGCTCAGTTTTTCAAAAATCCTGCGTTCTATTTTGCATATGATGCTGCTAAGGTAGATCAAAATGTTACAAAAAAATCTATATTATAATATTTTATCCAGGGTCGCTCGGTGCAAACAGATTATCCAATTTGGGCTATGTACATTGCGGTTTTCATGGTTCTGCTGGCAATTTCTCCCACTCTCATCATCTTATTCTTGAGATATTTCAGAATATGGAAATTTGAGGCAAATATCCCAGCGGTAAGCAAAAATGCACAATTTTATTTCAGTAGATTATCTGAATGTTTATGTTTTTAACTTCATTTTTTCATATTTTTCTTTTTAAAAAACTAATATTTTAGATAGCACAAGTGAAAAATATTTTGCAGGTAACCTGGCATGATTTAGAGAATAATTTGTATTTACTATAATTATGTATTTTTATTTTTTTTTTTCAATCGTTTCAGATTTGGGAGAAAACTGGAAAAGTAAAATTTTTTGGAACAATGCTTTAAAGCATAATAGTTTTCTCCCAAGTCTGATATGATCCATTTCCTATCGGAATGTATTTTTCATAATGTAGACAATTGTTGAGCAAGGCTGGTTGGAACAGAATTTTATCGGACTTTTGGATTCTCAATTTTTGTTGCTGGCATTGAAAAATTTGACCTTTGGAACCAAAAATTTTCATTTCCAATATAAAAGATCAACTTCAGAATTCTGAAGTTTTGAATTTCAGAAGAAGATTTCCGAAATCCCAAATTCCCAATTTCAACCAGCCTCGTTGTTCCTGATTAATTTGTATTCCTAAAAAAAATCCGAATTATATTCCAGGCTTCGAAATGTTTGAACACAACACCATCAACTACCCACATGTTGAAAAATGAGCAATCATATAATCGGATAAATGATTCAACAGTTTCTGTATCAGAAATTGACACATTTAACGCAACCACAAATGGAAATGGATTATCAGCAAATCATCGTCAATAAATCAATAATAATTGTACATAAAATTCAGTCATTTGTAACTTTTTGAGATTATTTATCCTTTATTCTCCCCTTTTTTGTATTCTACCCTCCAAGGAACTCACTTATATTCATTTCTCATTTTTAAAAACAATATTTTTTTTTCAAAAAAAAAATCTCTATTCTCTAGAATGCTCATGACTTCCATCTCCATCTATCCCATCCAATTCTAACCGATAAGAAATCCCCGTTTTTTAGTGACCGGTTTCAATAATTCTTGTGATTATTTGACTTTAAATAATTTCTTTTTTTTTAACAACTTTTTTTCTGTTAAGATCTCTTCACATATATTTGATGGAAAGAATTAGTCATTTAGTACTTCAACGGTTCCTGAACAATTTTTATGCCCGGTAAAAATACACATACACACATTTTTGATCCCCTGTTTCATTGATTTGATTTGATTGTAAACAACATTTTTTGTTTGTAATTTAGTTTGGAAAATAAAATGATGAGTAGAAAATGTTTCAAATTATCTACACCGGGGGAAATTGTCAAAAAAATTTTTTCTGTTAACCTATGTGATGCGATGTCCAAAGTAAAAAATATAGCAAAAAATGTGAGAATATATCGTCCAAAGCTCGTAATTTTTTTTTCTTGTTCAATTTAGTCTAAAAATGAAAAAATTAAAACTTCAATTTTTTGTTTGAAAATTTTTTCATATTTTATGTGTTACACATGAAATAAAAAAAAAATATTTTACTCCGATGAAGCGTCTGGTCCAAGAATATAACATGTTTTCTGAAAAATAAACGTTGCCTTGTTACAAAACTATAATTAGAAAAATCTCACATGTAACGATTTTGCCATTTTCGAGTCTGGTCCACATTTAAATGCACTTAAAAATTCTGAATTTTGTGCAGCAACTGCATTTGATCTGATTGGAGATGGAGAATGGCGATATCCCGATGATCGAATATTCTGAAAAAAAATCAGAATGGTAGATACATTTTTCTGGAAAAAAAACCATACACATGAAAAAAGCTGATTGTCCCATAAAAAGCAATTGTAAGTTTGTGTATATTCTATATTCATCATTGAACTCGTTCAACGTGGCACCCATATGATTTTTTGCAAATTGGAGAGCTCCTCTGAATCCTAATAAATCTGATCCATTGTCATCGATTCTACCGGTATATTGAATACAATTATCCTGAAAACCACATGAGTTACGATATACATAGCTTATAAACACACCGATGAAACATTGAAATAATGACATGTTTTATAAAATTGATTCTGTATGCAGTTTGTTGTCCGCTGAGAGAAGAATAATTCAAGTTCTTCACCTCTGCTTTGAATCAAAGAATGCGATATTTCGTGACCAATAAGGCTACCAACTAGACCAATCTAAATACATTCATCATATGTAAATATGTAGAGAAGTTGTTTTTTAAACTTACAAAGAAAGCTTCCGTTCCAACTCTAGATGCAATTGCATAGAAAGGTAAGCCAATATAAACGACACTTTTTTTATTTCTAGCGGTATAACCAATGACAGCCCTATTATTATTTTCACCGAAGCGCGAATATGACTGATCGATACAAATCAAATTTGCCAAACTCGCATCATCTATCCAAGAAATCAAAAATTTTTGACAATTTTTGTATTCATTTGTTAACTGTGAAATACGTTCAGAAGCAGACATATCATATAAAGTGAGATTCAGAAGTTTATCATGATACTTTTGAACGACGTTGTGTTTTTTGAGTGATGGTGTATCCTGTAATTTGAGTGTGAGTAATGATTGATTTTTTGAATATTTTGAAAATTTACAAAAACACAAAGTAATTAAGTTTAACTCACCTCAATCCAAGTATGAAAAATAGTTTTCAGTTCATCAAAAATTATATTAAAAGCATCAATCATGTTTCCGTTAGCGTGAAGCCACAATCGTTCTTTATTTGTTCGAATGACTGTTTCACAACCTAGTTTATAATTTTGGACCTAGAATTGGAATTTCATTTTTATTACAAGAAACTTATGACACTTACCAAATGAGACTCCCAGTTTTCCAAAAAATCTGTAAATTGATTTTTTGTCTCCAGTGAAATTTTGAATTGTTTGCATATTTTTCAAAAATATTTCTTCCTCACCATTTTGGATTCTGAAAATTTACAATTTCGAAAGCGTTCTTTTTGTCAAGTGAACTCACGATTTTTCAAACAAGCTCTTTAGTTTATCTGACACAGTCCCTTTTATATAATTAGTTTCACTACATTTAATTAATTCCATCTGAAAAATATTTCAAATATTTGCATGAAATACGATAAATAACCGACCATGTATTCAGAAACTTCATCAAATACGGTTAATTTACTATAGTCTTCTTCTAATATTTTCAGCCCCAATCTTTTCATCCCATATTTTGTTTCAACTCCACAAACGTGTCGATAAAAATTGTCACAACTGTCTACAGACGAATTGAGCATACTGAAACTTTCAGATTCGATTAATACATTTCTAGGAGTTACTTACTGCGTAAAAACATGATCAACCACATAATCACAAGAAATTCCGGTAAAGAAAATGAATGCTAAAACTGTTGTGAAATTCAACATTTTCAGTTTCAATTAATTTTTTGAATTTTTAAATCGAAATTTATACTGAAATTTCTCATTGTTATAAGAATCAATCTGTGAATATTTTATTGTTTCATTTTTCGAACAATTCAGATTCATGGTGCTGAAATTTAATTGTCGCATAGATGCATCTGAAAGTAAAACAATAAAATGATGATATATTCACAGTTAACAATTGAAATTGAAAGAAAAATGTATGACAAAATTGCTTATAACATTACAGTAGTTGAAAAAAATATTTCTATTCTTGATGTCTATATTTGTCAATGAAACTTTTTTGTCAATAGAATGTCACCATTTTTGATTCTGATTGTAATCATATATCAATCATCAAAAAATTTCAGAAAAACTGACCATTTAGAAAACAGGTTTTCTAAAAAAAAGATCTGAAAAATGTTCATGTAATGTGTCAGAGTATTATTTGGTTTCATTTTCTTATATATTTTCCAAGTCATCTGCTAATAAAACCATTCCAGAAAATGAGTTTTGACTGGTATGGCCTACCTGCTGAATTGAGATGTATGATACTCGAGAGGATGGATGATGAAACACTCATGTCATTCAGAATGTGTTCCAGAAAATGTTTTGTGAGTGCTATGTCCGTCACATCTGCTGTTGATTTGATCGGAATTCTATGGGGAGAATTTATTGAAATATTTTTCTTTATGAAGATTTCTAAACAGCTCTATTATAAAGTGATGATTTTTGAAGACGATGATGAGGATATGACACCAGTGGATTGTTTTATGATCTCGTAATTTGAAAAAAAAAATGTATTTTTTAAAACATTTAATTAAACTATTAAGGAATGAACGTAGACATTGCACGCCACACAAAGATCAAACATTTGAAGACGTCACTGTTCAATTGTTTAAAATGCATCTTGATTTTCATAGGAACACCTTGCAGAAATTGATCATAAGAAAGGTAATTCACAATCAGCTGGCATTGAAAACACTGACTGTTAAATTCAGAATCGTGAAGAAATTTCAACCGAATTGAGAGATAAACGGGTTGGTAAATTTCCTGAATTTTCTTTCGAAAATATTCCTAACATGTTCAGTCCACACAAATCAATAATATAATAAGTCGAATGGATTTCACTGTATTGAAAAATTTGGATGTTTTTGAGTATGAGCCTCCAACAACTTCGAACATTGATTTTTTTGAAAGTAAGATTCTGAATTTTCGACAGGTATGTTTTTTGTTTTATTTCATTTTTAATATTCAAATTTCATAACTGTTATAGGTACAAAAAATGACTGATTTCTCTATACCAAATACAAAATTTACAATTGAAATGATCAAAGAATTAAAAACAGATCGGATAACTATAGATGCAAAAGGTTTAGAGGATCAAGATATAGTTGAAATACTGATGGATTGGATTAATGAAGCACATTATAGGAATGTTTTACTAATTGAATTAACACTAGAAGATCCAGGAAATGAAAATCCGCGAAGATTTGATAAATCACTTCTCGATGGATTGGTGAAACGTTTTGATACAAAATAGTTAGTTTGTTTTCGTAATATTCATCGATTAATGATAAAAAATATTTTTTGCAGCATGTGGTTCGAAGAAAATGGAGACATTTTGGAAAATGTCGCGTTCAGCAATCAAAAACAGGAATACTTATATACTTGCATTTTGAAAAAAAATTATATTTTCATAGACAAACGTAGATTTAAATTAGAGGGAGACACACTGATGTGGTTCCCACTTGGGATATGATATTTTATATTATGTAAAAGGAAACGCTATATGAAAAAAGTATATTATGAAATGTCTAATACGAATTTGTTGATATTGTAACATTTTTTGCTATTTTTTAATGAGAAGCTCAACAAAATGTTCATTTTTATATCTAAATTTGTGTTACTAGCATATTATTCCATTGAATTCCTATTATTTTGCTTCAACAATAAATACATATTTGTGCAGGTTTTAAAGTAATCAGCATGTGCCTTTGAAAATTGGGGTTCTTCTGAAATTAAAAACTTCAAAAAAAAGTGCTACAAAGTCCTGGATTTACGAATTTTCCGTTTAAAAATTAATATGAAAAGAATAAGATCAGCTGACCTAGTTTCGAATTATGCTCACGTGCCCTCGAAAATAAATAAAATAAATTCAGAAAAAAAAGGTGGAAAAACGTGTCGACCTAATTTCAAAATATGCTCACGTGACCTCGAAAATAATTAATATAAATTCAGAAAAATAAAACGTGGAAAAACGTGTCGACCTAATTTAAAAATATGCTTACGTGACCTCGAAAATAATTAATATAAATTCAGAAAAATAAAACGTGGAAAAACGTGTCGACCTAATTTAAAAATATGCTCACGTGACCTCGAAAATAATTAATATAAATTCAGAAAAATAAAACGTGGAAAAACGTGTCGACCTAATTTAAAAATATGCTTACGTGACCTCGAAAATAATTAAAATAAATTCAGAAAAATAAAACGTGGAAAAACGTGTCGACCTAATTTAAAAATATGCTTACGTGACCTCGAAAATAATTAATATAAATTCAGAAAAATAAAACGTGGAAAAACGTGTCGACCTAATTTAAAAATATGCTTACGTGACCTCGAAAATAATTAAAATAAATTCAGAAAAATAAAACGTGGAAAAACGTGTCGACCTAATTTAAAAATATGCTTACGTGACCTCGAAAATAAATATAAATTCAGAAAAATAAAACGTGGAAAAACGTGTCGACCTAATTTAAAAATATGCTCACGTGACCTCGAAAATAATTAATATAAATTCAGAAAAATAAAACGTGGAAAAACGTGTCGACCTAATTTAAAAATATGCTTACGTGACCTCGAAAATAATTAATATAAATTCAGAAAAATAAAACGTGGAAAAACGTGTCGACCTAATTTAAAAATATGCTTACGTGACCTCGAAAATAATTAATATAAATTCAGAAAAATAAAACGTGGAAAAACGTGTCGACCTAATTTAAAAATATGCTTATGTGACCTCGAAAATAATTAAAATAAATTCAGAAAAATAAAACGTGGAAAAACGTGTCGACCTAATTTAAAAATATGCTTACGTGACCTCGAAAATAATTAATATAAATTCAGAAAAATAAAACGTGGAAAAACGTGTCGACCTAATTTAAAAATATGCTTACGTGACCTCGAAAATAATTAATATAAATTCAGAAAAATAAAACGTGGAAAAACGTGTCGACCTAATTTAAAAATATGCTCACGTGACCTCGAAAATAATTAATATAAATTCAGAAAAATAAAACGTGGAAAAACGTGTCGACCTAATTTCGAAATATGCTCACGTGACCTCGAAAATAATTAATATAAATTCAGAAAAATAAAACGTGGAAAAACGTGTCGACCTAATTTAAAAATATGCTCACGTGACCTCGAAAATAATTAATATAAATTCAGAAAAATAAAACGTGGAAAAACGTGTCGACCTAATTTCGAAATATGCTCACGTGACCTCGAAAATAATATAAATAAATTCAGAAAAATGAAACGTTTAAAAACGTGTCGACCTAATTTCGAAATATGCTCACGTGACCTCGAAAATAATATAAATAAATTCAGAAAAATGAAACGTTTAAAAACGTGTCGACCTAATTTCGAAATATGCTCACGTGACCTCGAAAATAATTAATATAAATTCAGAAAAATGAAACGTTTAAAAACGTGTCGACCTAATTTCGAAATATGCTCACGTGACCTCGAAAATAATATAAATAAATTCAGAAAAATGAAACGTTTAAAAACGTGTCGACCTAATTTCGAAATATGCTCACGTGACCTCGAAAATAATTAATATAAATTCAGAAAAATAAAACGTGGAAAAACGTGTCGACCTAATTTCGAAATATGCTCACGTGACCTCGAAAATAATTAATATAAATTCAGAAAAATAAAACGTGGAAAAACGTGTCGACCTAATTTCGAAATATGCTCACGTGACCTCGAAAATAATTAATATAAATTCAGAAAAATAAAACGTGGAAAAACGTGTCGACCTAATTTCGAAATATGCTCACGTGACCTCGAAAATAATATAAATAAATTCAGAAAAATGAAACGTTTAAAAACGTGTCGACCTAATTTCGAAATATGCTCACGTGACCTCGAAAATAATATAAATAAATTCAGAAAAATGAAACGTTTAAAAACGTGTCGACCTAATTTCGAAATATGCTCACGTGACCTCGAAAATAATATAAATAAATTCAGAAAAATGAAACGTTTAAAAACGTGTCGACCTAATTTCGAAATATGCTCACGTGACCTCGAAAATAATTAATATAAATTCAGAAAAATAAAACGTGGAAAAACGTGTCGACCTAATTTCGAAATATGCTCACGTGACCTCGAAAATAATATAAATAAATTCAGAAAAATGAAACGTTTAAAAACGTGTCGACCTAATTTCGAAATATGCTCACGTGACCTCGAAAATAATATAAATAAATTCAGAAAAATGAAACGTTTAAAAACGTGTCGACCTAATTTCGAAATATGCTCACGTGACCTCGAAAATAATATAAATAAATTCAGAAAAATGAAACGTTTAAAAACGTGTCGACCTAATTTCGAAATATGCTCACGTGACCTCGAAAATAATTAATATAAATTCAGAAAAATAAAACGTGGAAAAACGTGTCGACCTAATTTCGAAATATGCTCACGTGACCTCGAAAATAATTAATATAAATTCAGAAAAATAAAACGTGGAAAAACGTGTCGACCTAATTTCGAAATATGCTCACGTGACCTCGAAAATAATTAATATAAATTCAGAAAAATAAAACGTGGAAAAACGTGTCGACCTAATTTCGAAATATGCTCACGTGACCTCGAAAATAATATAAATAAATTCAGAAAAATGAAACGTTTAAAAACGTGTCGACCTAATTTCGAAATATGCTCACGTGACCTCGAAAATAATATAAATAAATTCAGAAAAATGAAACGTTTAAAAACGTGTCGACCTAATTTCGAAATATGCTCACGTGACCTCGAAAATAATATAAATAAATTCAGAAAAATGAAACGTTTAAAAACGTGTCGACCTAATTTCGAAATATGCTCACGTGACCTCGAAAATAATTAATATAAATTCAGAAAAATAAAACGTGGAAAAACGTGTCGACCTAATTTCGAAATATGCTCACGTGACCTCGAAAATAATTAATATAAATTCAGAAAAATAAAACGTGGAAAAACGTGTCGACCTAATTTCGAAATATGCTCACGTGACCTCGAAAATAAAGAATATAAATTCAGAAAAATAAAACGTGGAAAAACGTGTCGACCTAATTTCGAAATATGCTCACGTGACCTCGAAAATAATTAATATAAATTCAGAAAAATAAAACGTGGAAAAACGTGTCGACCTAATTTCGAAATATGCTCACGTGACCTCGAAAATAATTAATATAAATTCAGAAAAATAAAACGTGGAAAAACGTGTCGACCTAATTTCGAAATATGCTCACGTGACCTCGAAAATAATATAAATAAATTCAGAAAAATGAAACGTTTAAAAACGTGTCGACCTAATTTCGAAATATGCTCACGTGACCTCGAAAATAATATAAATAAATTCAGAAAAATGAAACGTTTAAAAACGTGTCGACCTAATTTCGAAATATGCTCACGTGACCTCGAAAATAATTAATATAAATTCAGAAAAATAAAACGTGGAAAAACGTGTCGACCTAATTTCGAAATATGCTCACGTGACCTCGAAAATAATTAATATAAATTCAGAAAAATAAAACGTGGAAAAACGTGTCGACCTAATTTAAAAATATGCTCACGTGACCTCGAAAATAATTAATATAAATTCAGAAAAATAAAACGTGGAAAAACGTGTCGACCTAATTTAAAAATATGCTCACGTGACCTCGAAAATAATTAAAATAAATTCAGAAAAATAAAACGTGGAAAAACGTGTCGACCTAATTTCGAAATATCCTCACGTGACCTCGAAAATAAATGAAATAAATTCAGAAAAATAAAACGTGGGAAAACGTGTCGACCTAATTTAAAAATATGCTCACGTGACCTCGAAAATAATTAATATAAATTCAGAAAAATAAAACGTGGGAAAACGTGTCGACCTAATTTAAAAATATGCTCACGTGACCTCGAAAATAATTAAAATAAATTCAGAAAAATAAAACGTGGAAAAACGTGTCGACCTAATTTCGAAATATGCTCACGTGACCTCGAAAATAATTAAAATAAATTCAGAAAAATAAAACGTGGAAAAACGTGTCGACCTAATTTCGAAATATGCTCACGTGACCTCGAAAATAATTAATATAAATTCAGAAAAATAAAACGTGGAAAAACGTGTCGACCTAATTTCGAAATATGCTCACGTGACCTCGAAAATAATTAATATAAATTCAGAAAAATAAAACGTGGAAAAACGTGTCGACCTAATTTCATAATATGCTCACAAAATTGAAGGGAAGGAGAAATTGTTTTAAAAAAAGAAAAATAATATAAAGACGAATATAGAGAATGTACCGAGAGCTAATGTATAACAGAAATACGGGGAAGTAAGAAAGAGAGAGAGAGAGAGAGTGAGAGAGAGAAAAGAAAAGGAGAAAAATAGTTTTTGTATTGTATTGAATAAGACTAGATAATTTAGTTTTACCCAGTTAGCGGAGTGTTTTGAGAAAATCTTCAATGTTTTTCTGCTGGTATTTATTATTTTAATTTAATTTTTTATAAACGATCTTGACTTTTTGGGTAATAATTATCTCGCTGAATCCGTTTTTGATGAATTGTTTAACGAGATCAAGATATCTGTTACTTGCGTCAATGAAATATGTACAAGTTTGGTAAATGCGTAAAAGTTCAGTGTACATAAATAGTGTTTATTGCAATTCTATCAGCTGTTAGATATTCAGTATCTAAAAATTTCGAAATCGTATTCATCAGTGTTGTTTTATAATCGTGTGTGAATTGTTTTTCTAGATTACTTTCATCGGATTTTTCACAATGAACAGTTTATTTATTTTTATATCAACTTTAATATCAAGTTATTCATCTTGAGAAGTTGAACTTTGATCATCATATCAATATAACGGTTCAGAAAGCCCTCTGGAAGGCCCGTCAATTGCTAAAAGCCTTCAGATTCGGTAAACTTCACACATATCTATCGCTATACAAAACATATATAGCTCCAATCATTGATTATGGCTCCGAAGTTTTTCGGCCGTTTATATCCAAAAAGGCATGCTTATTAGCGGAAATGCCACTTAGAAGATATACGAGATCAATATTTCGTAGATGTAACGTATCCTTCAGTTCATATGAAGATAGATTACATCAATTAGAGTATTGCAGTGCGGAAAGGAGAAGTTTAAATTCGGGGCTTTATACTTTTCTCGGGATCTTGGAGGGTTCCACTTACTTTCCCGAAATTGATAATCTAGTTTGCAGAAAAAGTTCCCCTCGTTATCCTCTGCAGCGCAAACTCACCCAACAGTGCCCACTCCAAAGCTTCTTTGGAAAAATCATCCCAGTTTGGAACGAAATTATAAAACATATCGATCCTTCCACCAGCACAAAACAACTACGAAACTACATTTCATCTCTAACAGATTCACAACTAATTGGAACATCTCAAAATCCTTGGCTCACCAATTCTCTTGTAAGGAATTAGGAGTCACTGTATTGTTATTTATTAATCATATTATTTTTCTCAACTCATGTGTCATAATTTTTCGTTAAACTTGTCATATTATGTAAATAATCATTTTCGGGTACGAGCTCGGGTCAAATAACTATGTATTATGAATAAACTATTATATTATTTATATCTTCCTCTTCCTCTTCAATTTTATCTTCATCTTCTTCCTCTTCTTGTTTTTTCTCAAGTCTAACTTTCTCAAGTTTCTCTCGAAGTTCCTTCGCATTCTCCAAATGATCAATTTTTCCATAATAATCTTGAGAAACAACATCTCTTGTCTTCATAAATCCTCCAGTTTTTGATTGTGATTGAAGTGTAAGCTGTCCACCCAACCAAGCCATATATTTATTACTATCCAATTGATCAGATGTTGTCCAATTCAAACCTTCAATTAATGTCGTCGCTTGTCGATTTTTCTGACAACCTGGTTGATAATTTTGTCCAGGAGTCATTCCAAGCGCTGCCATTGAATTCCGTGGGTCTTGGAATCTCGGAATCGCTGCCATACATTTCAAATGCTCTTTGTGATCCATCCTTTTACCACCAATTGTTTCAGTTAGCGCATCTCTACGTTTTCCTGGAATGGAACTTGGTACATTATTTTTGGAATATGTGATTTGGGTTACCGATATCAGAATTCTTGGCATTGTGGTTTGGTTGATTCCATTTTTTCAAAACTGTTTCTGTCATTTTATCATCAACGATTTTGCTGATCAACACTTTTTCATCTCCATTCTGAAAAAATTATACTTTTGGTGGGGTTGGGACAAAAAACTAGATTCAAAGACTATTCAGAAATTATTTTTAAAAAAACCTTGTAGGCTAATAATTACTCACAGTATCGGTAACCTTTGTAACTTGCTCTCGAATACTTCCAAATCCAGAAGTTTTCGACTGCGATGCACACGGAAAATGTAACGGTGGACATGTGATGTGTGGAACTGCACCATCATTACTTTCAGATAATTGTTTACTTGATTTTATTTCGAGTTCTGAAAAAAAATCAATAATTCAAATTTTATCACAGAGAAAACTAACGTGTATTTCGAATAGTTCCAAAATGTCGATCTCCTTTTTGTGTTGCATATTTATTTGTTCCATATTCCCAAGAAATATTGTTTGGTAAGATGATTTTGCGGCGATGCTTATCTTCTTGAGTTTTAGCGTATTCCTGAAAAAAACTTATTGAAATGAAAAACATTTAGGATCGGAGGGTTTTCAGGAAAAACAGGATTTTTTAAAACGTGAAAAGATTTTCAGAAATCTTCATGAAGATAAGAAATGTGTGTAAATCACAAATAGGAAGATTTTTAGTACTGTAGAAACCCATTATTTCCTTACTAAACCAAGATATTCTTTAAAAAACTCACAGTTTTAGTATCCATTTGAAACCGCAAGGTAGTAGTACTTGACACAGAAGATATTTGAGAAAATGGCGAGCAAAAATTGCGGGGGGATTTTGAGAAAAGAAAGAAAAACTATGGGAGAACAAATAAATGTTATATCCAAACAGACATTTTTTTTTGTCTATTCTTTTTTGCTTGTGACTGACTAATTGTTGATATTTTTAGATTTTGACAGTTTTTGGAACGCTGGATTCCTATAAAATAAATAATAAACTTCATTTCAAATCTTTGATCACAACAATATAAAAGCATGTATTACACGTAAAAAGGAGACTAATCTAAAAAAAAAGAACTTGGAATGTATGTAAACACAATTGAAACTTGGAAAATGTCAGTCACAACACCGTAAAATATGTGGGAGAAAAATAAATGAAAAAAATAAATGAAAAAAATAATATTGCACAAATGGTACAGAAAACGTCATAAAATCATATTAAAAGCAAAGACTTTGTGTTAAAGAGAAAGGGTGTGTTATTAATTAAAGAATTTGGTATTAAAACTCGAGCGATTTTTTTTAATTGACACGTATTCATGCTGAAGAGCGGCGATATTTGACCACGAGAGTATTGATGATGAAATAGGCGAGCTGAAAAATGATTTAGCCTAAGTCTAGCTGATCCCACTCAACTTACCAAGAAGAAATGAAGGCCGGCAATGACGGTTGTTGTCCAAGGGAATCCGATAAGTTCCATCAAAAAACTGCCAAATGTTGGACCAACAAATGATCTGCAAGAAAAATAATAGAGTTTCAAAACTTCAAAATTATTTGTTGACTAACCCAAAACCAAATGCAGCTTGGAAGATACCAGAGACACATCCATAGGTGTGGAAGTTGTCCTCGAATCCACGAGATCTGGAAACAAGTTCATAATTGATACGACAAAAGTTCAAAAGTTAGAAAAACTCACTTGACAATATCAAGACATGTTTGAAAACATGGAACATACAACGCACTAGCAGACACTCCAAGCAGTGCCAACGAAGCTCCGATGACGACAAGGTTTCTGCAAAAAAATTTGATTGCTCATGGCCTCTTTTGATTAATGAAAGCCTTACTGTTAGGGGATTTTATCGGTTCAAAAAAATATTTCATAAACTTTTTCAACTTGTATTAACGCGGTCAAAAGTTCATAGAACATTCTTGATGATGTTCATGAAATCTCTTGAATTTTAAGGTTCTGAAAAGAGTACAATTTTGAAAAATAATCTGAATTTCAGTTTTTTGTGGGAAACAATTGACGATTTCAGATTTTTCAGAGGTCAAAAGCTGGAAAATTCACAGTTTTCATACTGTAAAAAGTTACCATACAATTTTTTATTTTGGAAATTACGATTCTGGCCGAGGTTTAGCGGAAATTTAAAAACCAAGAACATACAAAAATGAGAGAGTAGTAGATTCTTTGGTCTGATTTAAAAATCTACCCAAAACCTTCAAAAAATCTCAGAAAACCCACTTCGAAACCAAGTCCCCAAACAATGGCGATGGTCCAATAAAAACCATCGACAAAATCGTGGCAAGCGATCCGAACATCATCATCAATGCTCCGCAATGATAGCTATCCACATAGCTTCCGAAAATCGGAGCTGTTGCTGTATAAACACCACCGCAAAGCAAAAACATCAAACCAATTCCAGTGTTTGACATGTTGAACTGAAATGTTTTAAAAAATCAATAAATTGTATCTCTTATGAGTATTCTACTAACCGCTTCAAGATGTGGAGTCAAAGTTGGATCCAAAAATGAAAGTGAAATCGCGCATGCAATAGTTCCGAAAAGTGGCATCCAAATTTCACCAATTCTGAGCATAGTCATCATTCCTTTTCCATCATTATCACATTCATCTTCATCTTTTGTATCTTCAATCAAATAGAATCCAAAACCAGTAGCAACCAATAAAACAATTCCGAGGGCAAGGAATGGAACTTGGAAACCGCCAAAATCATACAACAATCCACCAATAACTGGTCCAGCTGTATAACCAAGACCGGCAAAGGTTTCCAAGAGTCCCTGGAGAAATTTTTGATGAAAAAATATATATTTCTAAAAAGAAAACTCACAACAATCATTGCAATATTTTTTGGGAAAAGTTTGGCTGAAATTGCAAAACTTGATGTGACAAAAGCAGCATCACCGATGGCTTCAACGATTCTGATGAGAAAACTGAACCAGAAGAACAATTCTCCCGATGGTAGGAAATTCAAGAATCCGAAGAGAATTGCCGTGATACCAGTTATTGCGAGACCAAGGACGAAGAGACGTTTGGCACCAATTTTTATGATCTGAAAACGTGGAGGTGTTGAATTGTTTGAAGGTAATGTGGATATCTGTCATGAATATCGATTTTTTTGAATGAATTTCATTTCAAAAGTTGGTCTCCTGGTTAAAAAAAACCATTCACAAATTTCAGCTCCAAACTACTGTACACCTGAATTTGCAATCCACGGTGTTTCACTTTTTTTTAGAACTTCGAAATTTTTAGAAGCTTCCAGAAAAAATCCTTGTATTAATTTGAAGATGCTCTTTCAAAAAAATCGGATCAGCTAGTTTTTTTTTAATTTTCAAAAACTCAAAAAATGATTTTTATTGAAATTTTCTTTGGTTTTGACATCCTGGAACCCTGATTCAATTTTTCAAATTCAAAAAAAAAGTATTTCCCCAAAATTTCTCTCAAAAAACTCACATATTTACCAAAAATCGGTGAAACGATAAACATGGTAAACTCAAAAACACCAAAAACAATTCCAATTTCAGTCTCTGTCAAATTCTTCTCATTCGCTTCAGTTGGATAAAACGGAGCAATGCAGGAGAAAGCAACAGTTGAGCAAAGATTTGCAAGGCATAACATGATGAGTGTAACGATTTCACGATATGACATTGATCTGTAGAGTTTGAAAGCGCTCTGGAAGATATATGATATATGATTGACCTAGACGTCTAAGATCATTCAAACTCACCGAAATTTGTGAAGAAGAATGACTAACTTCGCTTCCACTTTCCTCTTCATCTTCATCCGATGCACTTTCTTCCGATGATGATTTGCTCATCAATTTTTCAGTGGTGCTTCCATATCGAGATTTTGGTGCGATTCGTTCTTTGATAGCTGCGTCGACCGAGATTTGCGTTGAGATTGGCATAAATGGTGACATGATAAGTGGCCTGGAAAATGAAGATTTTAAAAATTTTGTGAAACTAGTTTGTCATAAAAAATTCACAACCCTATCCCGCTCCCCAACAAACCTTGATTTAGCACTAGAATCCGATTTGACACTCGAAAGGCTCTGCATCGACTGAGCCTTGCGTTTTATACTTAATATTTCTACGACCATGACTAGAAAAAAACAACAACACTAATTTATTTGTTGGCAACATATGAAAAGTGAGTGAGAGATAACAAGAGAGGTGCAAGAAAGAGAAAAAACACAGATTGCCCTCTCTTTTTTTTTCAAAGAAAAAAAAATATCTGTTGTTATTGATGCATATTATTTAACCGCGGGAATGATGAGAAGAAAAAAAGGGGAAACAAGAAAAAAGTTGGTGTGTGTGTGTGTGTATGTTTGTGTGTGTGTGTGTTTGACAAAACACACATACAAAATTGACAAAACACGGAGGTTCAGAAGAGGATTAATATTGTGATGGGGTTACCTATTCTACCTATAAGAACATGTAATTCAAAAAAAATCGATTGAAATTGTATGTGGGGAAAATTGACTCGAGAAGTTTTTGAGCAAAAAATTTTATGAAGTTTTTTTTCTTTTTCTTTTCATTTGAAAAGGTTTCATTTTTTGGATTTTGTCAAACATACATTTGAAGCCACCAAAAATTCAGATTTTTTGGAAAATTTTGAATTTTTTATAGGTAAAGAACAAAGGTTACCGTAAATTGTAGAAGTAAAATTTAGCCTAACACTTTGTGAACATGAAAATCGTTATTCGAAAGTACAAAAGGTTGATCAGGATGTCAATTCAACCTTCTATTTTTCCCAAGTCACTGAATTTTTTTTGAAAAAAAAAATGGTTTTGTATCCTTAAGAGAGCCTTAAAATTCTTAATTCTTTAAAATATTTTTTTACCGAACTATGGACCCGATATCCCAAAAAAATCATATTCTGGTTACTAATTTTTCAGGACAGGAAAATAATAAATTTCAGAAAATCAGAGCTTTCCAAAAAAAATTTAAAAAGTTTTTCCAAGGTTCACTTCTAACCAAAACAATCAATGACAACAAGAAAAAAAGGAGAAAAGGTGTCAAAATGATTTGAAAAACTTTGAACATGCAATCATTTATCATTACTACTTGTTCATTCTTCATTTTTTCTTCTTCTTGTCTTAGACAGGGGAGAAAATCACAAAAGGAAGAAGTAAGAGGCAATTATTTTATTAGTCTTGGAAGAGAAAAGAGAAAGTTTGGAGGATTATATTGTTTCAAAAAAAGGAGAGAGAGAGTGAAAATGAGAGGATATACTACATATAAATCGAAAAAATTGGAACTGATTTTAAATGACAATGGCCCTAGGGCGGCCCAAAAGCCTAAGCGCTGCCTGTGACGTAAATCTACGTATATTTATGTTTATGTACAATAAGAAATGTTTTTTTTACGCAGCATGAACTTTTTTCTTTGTGTGCTACTTATTATCTCTGCGTATATCAATTAACAATACTATTTTTTTGAAAAGAGCCACAGCAAAAATGTAAACACAAACTGTTATTCTAGAAAAAATGAAAAATCATTGGAATAATAATTATCACGAGACGCCCCCCCGTTTTTCCAATAAAATCTTTATTTTTAATGGGTTTTTTTATTCAGAAAATCATATTCACAATTGAAATATTGGACTCAAAGAACAAATTTTGCAAAAAAATAATTCAAAAAACGGGGGAAATTTTGAATTGGTTGTGAAAAATATTATGAATCATTGGAAACATTTATGTTTTTATAAGAAACATAAAAATCAATGAGAAATAATAATGGGATCTTATGAGTTTTTGAGAGAAGAAGTTAGAGATTAGACAGCTAGAGCTGGTTAGAGATCAGTTGTAAGTTACAGTTTTGTAAGAGAGAGAGAGAGAGTTAAAGAATCAGACAGCCAGGAAAGGTTAGACAGCTAGATGTAATTAGAGAGCTAGGATGGATTATTGAGAATCAGACGTCAGAGATTTGATAAAAGTAGACATCTAGAGATTACACAAGATGATGGAAGTTAGAGAATCAGAGAAATTAAGGCAGCTAGACATCTAGAAAAATCTTGAAGCCTTGATAAAAAAATTTATGAAAAAAATTATTTCCAGAAAATGAACCGCTCACAACACCCGATGGAAACAAGCGATGTGAATGAATCATTTTGTCCTCGAATAAAAAATCAATTAAAAGGGGTTGGCCCATAATCACATACATATCATAAAAACCTCCTCTTTCCTCAAAAACAAAAAAAAATATTTGAAATCGAAATATCAGAAAACCCTATTATGAAATCCATTGGAAAAAACAGGGAAAAATCATCCTTGAACTATGGAGCTTTTGAGACTCCCTTGAACATTATCAACATCTAGTTTCTTAATTTAAGATCATTTACTGTAATGAAAATCAGAATTCAAGTAAGGGTTTCAGAACTGGACAAAATAAAAAGAGCTGAAAATATCTTGAACTTGGGAAGGCTGAGGTATGAGGAGGGTTTGAAAGGTTTGGAATTATTCAAAACTGGGAAAAAATGTATCAAAATACAGTTTTCTATAAAAATTCAAAGAAAAGAAGGCTCACAAGTAGGAACGAAAACAGGGAATATGAATGAATCATTTGAAAATGTTGGCCCATGATCACATCCCATAAAAACCTCCCCTCTTCCTCGAAAACAAAGATCGATAATTCAGAAAAACCTATGGATGATGATGAAATTACATAGAAAAAATATCAAATAAAAATATTAAAATTTTCAGAATCCTGAATTGATTGTGAAAAATTATCGCAGTTGAATTTTTGGGTTGACATTTATGCAACTTTTTTTAAAATAAAAATTAGGAAAATGTCAAATCAATTGTTTCAATTTTCGGGAACACCAAGAAAAAATTTACGTTTTTTTTGTTCAATTAGAAGTTCCACGAATTCCCCTCCCATTTCCCTCCAAAAAATCCAACAAACCTTGGTTTTCTTTGTCTATTTGTGGAGCTAATTGTATTGTACCGTGATCGCTTTCGTCGTTTCTTTTTGAGTTCATTTCTACCAATCTGAAAAAAAAGGAAAAATGTTTAAATTTGATCTGTGATCTATAAACAAATTGATAAAATAATTTGATAACAAACCTCAGATCGCGTCGTGTTCGAAGGTCCTGGATAATCTTCGATCAATTCATCGTATCCTACAACTGTTGGAAGAGAACTGGAAATAAAAATTCTAGAAAATTATGTAGTTTTAAAATTGTTGAGTTCAAAAATCTGAAGACCGAGAACATTCAGTTCAAAGTTCACGCGTCGTGGGTGGTCTCAGAAACACCTGGCTGTCAAATTTCAAAAAATCCCTACCTGCTAGGGTGCAATAATGGTGTATTTTCATTGTCGCTAACCATACTATCAGCTGTTGGCCTTGTGAGTAACTGCAACAAAAAATATAAAAGGGTAATCCGTCGATCAATAAACTCGTGAACAAAAAATGTAAACAAACAGTAAACTCACAATTTGTGATTCGGTTCTTGCTGGTTTCGGTGGTGCAATTGAAACTATTTTCTTTTTTTCGTTGAATGGCTTGATTCGCTCGAGATTCGTCATTGTGTCGCGTTTTTCATCTTCTTCATCATCAGTTTTTGAATACTGGAAAATTTTTTTGAAAAAATGGGGAAGGGGGGAGGGTTCGAATCAGCAGGTTAGAAACAAGAAACTCGTGTGAAATTTACATATGAAATGTTTTTTTTGTTACAGAAAGACATTTATAGAAATCGTATCACCTCGAATGCTCTAATTTAAAGCAAATTTTTAGAAAAAGTTTTGAAAATATTTTGAAAATCAGTTCCGGTTGGCTCAATTTAAAATTGAAAATTTATTTGCGGGAAAAATTTTTTCAAAATTTTTTTTCATTTCACTGCACATTTTTTCACGAAAAAGTGAAGAATTCATTGATTTTCAGCGGATTTTGATGAGAATATTCAAAAAAATTCAACATTTCACGCTGCACAATTTTTATTCTGAAAAAATTTTCAAAGTTTTGAGACACTCTCTCGCCAAGTGTGTATTCAGTCATTTTTTTCTAGAAAAAAGTGAAGTTCAGAAAATAATTTCCAAAAAAAACTTTTGACTTTTTAATACAAGTAAAAATTCCTGAAATTGATTTTCACAAAAGTGCAACAAATATTTTCAAGAATCGATTCACAAATTTTATTTTTCATAAAAAATACTAACCTCTCTCTCCGGACTGCTCGAAACATCCAACGGATCTTGTGTAAAATTATGCGAATTTTCTCGTTGACGTGACATGGTTTTTTTTTACAATTAAAGAAAGAAGTAGTGCGAAAAATATAATCAATGTATTTTTTCCGCTATCAAAATGGTTGGCTTGTTAGTTATCATTTGATCGAAACGATGTCCCTCGATTCAAAATTATGTGATAATAGACAAATACTGTTTTCATGTAATATTTTTTAGTAGAAAGAGTAAAATTTAGTTAATAACAATTAATGTTATTTATTATTAGTGATGAGAATAAAACAAATAGCAAGAATGATTGTGTTATTATGATATTTGTTATCAATGGTTGACACTTATTGTCTTTTTTGGGTTGTCATGTGACTTGTGCATATTGTGATTATCTTTCAGTGACTACAAACTATTTTTATTCTTATTCTTATATTTTTCACCTCATTTGGGAGAATTGTGTTTTTTGTATAGTCCAAATTATTTCTTGGAAATATTCTTGGAAATCAAAGATTTCGGAGAGGAGATGTTTGGTAGGAGATCAATGTCTTTTTTTTAAGAGAAAAAATGGTTTTAAAAAAGACATTTTCAGAAAATGCGGCGTTTAACAAACTCCCTGTTTTGAGAATTCTAAAATTTATCGGATTTTCTGGATTTTTTTCCTGGAAAGTTCTATTTTTCGGGAGAAGATTATCAGATTTTAAAATACATGGAAAATTCAGAAATTCCTGAAACTCAAAAATGGAGGGTTTGAAAATTTTCCTCAAGGCTTATGGACACCGAAAATCTAAAAACATTTTCAAACAAAAACTTCTGATTTTTCAAATTTTGAAAAATTTCCCTCAATCTGGTTCCGAATTTTCACAACGTTTTCCAGCTCTGTTCGAAATTCCAGAATGTTCATTCTTTTTTTCTCAAACATTTCTCTCTCAAAACCAAACTCAAAAAAAAACAACTACCTAAAGAGTCACAGAAAAAAGTGTTTATTGGTGTCCATTGTCTAAACAAAAGTGTGAAAATTCTGACAACTTCATAAAAAAAATCATCACCAACATTTTTGCACCAGTCGCATATTTACAGGAAAAAAAATATGTACAGATTTTTGATGTGTCAACAAAACAAATGTGGCAATGTGCGAAATGCCGACAATATCTGAACAAGAAGGAATGTGTCATTTTCTATTGTTCTCGAAAAATATGCATCCGAATGGAAAATGAGTTGTATATGAGTTACTCTTCAAAAATTATTACATGTTGAAAAATTTTCTGAACAGTTTTTTTCCTGAAAAAAATGAGTATATAAATATTCAGCAATCAACATTTGAACACTTTTGAAAAAAAGGGAGGCTCATAAATTAATAAAAACGAATGCTTAAAATGAAAAAATGAGTACGGTGTTAGAAAAACTGGAGAATTCATAATTCATAATTAATTTTCTATTCGCGTTATTACAAAAAAACTTGAAATTTTTCATGAATTCGATTGAATGTGTAAAACAAAGATGCTTTTTCAGTATTTTTGAAAAACTACAATTTTTCTATTCCTGCGATGTTATCTTGTAAATAAAGTATAGTTTGTTATCACATATCAATTTGAAAGTAACATGAGTATGGTTTATTATTAGAGGAGTGACAACAAAAAAAAGAAGCCGCAAGTATTCTATAAAATTTGGGGATTTTCCCAAAACAAAGAAATCTTATCTGTTAACATTTGGATAGGCTGTAATATATACTTTTTTCTATTTTCAGAATTTTCAAGTTTTATATTGAAATGAGTTACAGTAGATTTAGTTTCAATGTTTAAATCCAATGAGTAAAAAATCCATCAAGCCTCAAATAATAATGCTAATTTTTTTTTCGAAAAAAATTGCTTTCTTGCTGTAACTGATTTTTTCGAAAAAAATTGCTTTCTTGCTGTAACTGATCTAAAATATATTTTATTAGAAAATAAAATCAGGACTCTGTACAGACTCTAGAAAACTCTACAAACAGTTTCAAAAAATGGGATACTATAATCACCCGAATCTAGAACCACAGAAAAAATTACAGGAAAATTGCATTTTGAGTTCAATAATGTTAATAGAAACATCTTTTCTTTCCAAGCTCCGGAACACGTATTTTGAGTGCAGAATTTTCAAATTCGGTTTGCGGTTCTTCCCACTGCAAAAATTTCTATGTGTGTTATCAAGGATACTGAACTTGTCTGTCAAAACAATTTCTGGATGTTGATTTTCTGCTCCATTGAAAAACCTCAGTAATTTTCCCAAAGTTTTCCAATTAATCCATCTACCCACCAAAAAACAGTCACCCATGTTCTCTATCATTTTTTTTCTAACCACCCTTCCTCTTGCTCTCTCTCTGTCTCTCTCTCTCTCTCCATAAACAAAAACAATAACAACATATCCTAACACCTGAGAACGCACCTTCATTAGGATAAGGTCGGTTTTTTGCACATTTTCATAGAGTCTTGTTTTTTTTGCACATTTTTTATTGGTAAAAAAATGGGCGGATATTCTTCGGGTGATTTTTGTGGGTGGGATTTAGGCGGGGGTAAGAGTTTGTGTATGGTGTGGTTTGTTATTAGTATTGTTTTGTTTCGACATATCGTGTGCCTCTTTTTTTCTGTTTTTTTGATGATTTTTATTAATTATTAACTTCTAAAATTATTATAATTTTCTTAAATGCTTTTCGGTTTTTTTGAGGTTCATTTTTTTTTTGGAATTTTCTAGTAGTTAGGTGGAGAAAATTTATCTAATTAGTGAACGTTTTTTATTAATTTTAGTGTGCAGGTTGTCACACCCTTTTCGAAGGAAGCTCGAAGTTTTACTACCTCTTGTGATCCCAAACTTTCTAGAACATTTCGATGTATAATGTTCTTATTTTCTCAGTTTTATTTTATTTGAGATACTCCAAAAAAATTTGAATACGTTGTTTCTTTTTTTTGAACCCAAATTCATGATTTCGAATATTTTTAAAATTGAAATTAGACAAATCTATGTTTTTTCTCAGATTCTTCTTTTAAAACAGTTCTAACCTTCGCAAAATTATACCTTCCCACAATATTTCCAAATTATTTTTCTTCATTTGCCAACCCAAACTCAAATTTCCCACCTTCATATTCAAAAATTAGTATCCACTTTTCCCAATTCATCCTAACTATATTTATTTATTTATTATCGACTATTTGTGTCTTCTAATTTACTATCTGACAATAAAACAAGAAATGAGTAGCATACTTTCCCATATATCTCTTGCCTTTGTTCAGATACACAAGTGCACTACTATTTTTATCCAAAACTTGATGTACCTACATAATTATTAAAATAATTCCAATAGTTCGAAAAAACAATGAACTCTCGAATTTGTCATAGAAATGTTTTTGTTCGGATATAAAAACACTATTTTATTTTTATTTTTGTCTCTTTTTACTCATTTTTATGTATATCCTTTTTTTTTTTGAAAAATTCTCGTAAGCGGTAAAATACTTTTTTATTGATATAGAAATTCAATCGATATACTTTTGATATACGTTGAGGATTTTTTTAATTTTAAAGTGCCCCAGGGATTTAAAATTTGTATGAAAAATTTAATGCAAACAGTTTTAAAAACTATTTTTTCTGTAGATCATATTTTTATTTTCTTATAAATCCGATCTTTATGTATTTCTTTATCTTCAATTCATCAAATATAATTTTCCAGAGCCCAAAAATACACAAAAATGTCAATTGTCAACATGTATGCAGCCAACAACAGATCAACAATCTCCAATCAAATGCTCCATCAACAATTGCATCAACAACCAATGCCGCGACGGCAACAAATTGCAGTTTATCAATATTTGAACCCGGTATATTATGCTCAAATGATGCCGGTTCAAATGATTCAATGGCCAGTTATGTATCAACGAGTGGAACAGAAATATCAAGAAGTTGAACATCAAGATTTGCCACGACCAAAGAAACCAACACCACCGGATGTGCCATTGAGCGAATTGGAAGATGAACCCCCGAAGAAAGTGGCGAAACAAACAGAAAAAGAGAACAAGGGATTTGAGAATTTATACAGTAAGTTGTTTTTTAATGGGTGGGAGAGAACTTTTCTACCCTCGCGGGCTTATTTTTTGGAAAAGATTTGTTACAAAAAATTTTTGAATTACCTTCGAAAATGTTTGAAATCCAGAACCATTTTTTTTGCAGAACGTCACAAAAATTTCAAAAAATGCCGTTCCGAAGCAAAGGATTTTTATCTGATCATGTTTTCGAAAATGCGAGTCACCAAGGAACTAATGATGGAATGGGGATATCCATTTTTCGAGAATGTTTCAAGTCCAAGTGTCACAATCAAATCAACAGTTTATGAGATGCACAAGAAAATGTGGATTCAGGAAGAGGATAGAACACGAAGATGTGTTAGATGCAATGAGGAATATTCGATTGATTTGAATGGAGAATCAAGATCGAGGTGTAGATATCATAATCGAGGATTTGTTTATAATGAAGGTTAGTTCAAAAAGTCCCTAAATTCTTCAATCCGAATTTTGTTATAGGAAAAGAAAATATTCGCCTTCATTCGTGCTGCAGAAATGAGGTTGGGATCTCAATTGGTTGTAAACATGAAACATTCCATGTTTCAAATCAATTATTCTCCTCGGAACTGTCTCAATTCATCAGAACTCCGAGCCCACGAATATTGGATTCAAGAAGCAGAAAGATGTATGCGATTGATTGCGAAATGGTCTATACGACAGCTGGACCAGCATTAGCTCGATTATCAGTGGTGAATATGAAGGGAAAATTGGTATTGGATATGATTGTCAAGCCGCTACATGCTGTTATTGATGCAAACACGGAGTTCTCGGGATTGACAATTGAGCAAGTGAATGCATCGAAAAACAATCTTGAAACAGTGAGTTTATTTCAAAAGGGTGTGGTTGTTTTTTATCCCCGAAAATTAGTATAGATTTTGAAATTTCAAATCTCACTTTCAAGTTGTTTTCACTATCCCAAATTTACTCTAACGTTTTGAATACCCGTTTTTCTGCTCACATTCCACCTCTAAAATAATTTGTCTTTCAGTGTCGAGAAGAGCTGTTCAAATTGGTCAATTCCGAAACAATTTTGATAGGACACTCACTGGAATCAGATTTCAAAGCGCTTCGTTTGGTCCACCACAATGTAGTCGACACTTCATTATTATTCAAAAATGGGCCACACAAACCTGCACTACGGAACTTGACGAAACAACACCTTGGAAGAAATATCCAATCAGACAATGTCAACACTTTTGGACATAGCTCAGCTGAAGACGCAAAAGCTTGCATTGATTTGGTCAAGGAGTATATAACTTGTCATCATTGAAAACTACGTCATTATTCAATTGATTATAGTATAGTATAAGGTTAACAATTATGCTATCATTAATAATATTCATTTTATTTCATACATTTTCCCAATAGTATACTTTTCGCACTGTGTTTTTTGAATTTTCCGATGATTTCCCCCTTGATCTCTTTTCGATTCCCATTACGTGTCTGATTCCCAAAATAAATTTCTTTTTTTTTCAAACTTGACTATAGTTTATGTATTGAGAAAAAGTTTTAGAAAAAAAGGAAAAATTGGATAAAAAATGCACTAAACTAAAGGCAAGTGGAGTGTTGTTGTATGCAGCGAGGCGAGAGAAAAAGAGCGTCTTTTTGGTTTTTTTGGTTCATGCGTGGTGTTTACAGTTTTTCTCTCCAACGCTAATTTTTTTTCATTTTTGGTTCTCAATCCTAATTTCTTTTGTGTCTTCATCATTTTCATCGAGTACAATTATTTTTCCAGGTTATTTTTGTCACATGTTGCTACGGGCGTACCTGTGAGTTTTCACTGATGTCCAGCAGGATTGGCTGGACCAATCAATGGATTATATGTCATAGATGTGAGTTTTATATTTAGTTAGTTAAGGTGAAAGTTTTTTTTTTCCGCATTTCATATAGTTTTCAAATCTTCTAATAATTTCAGGTTGTCCTAGAAGAATTCACAGCAAAAATCGGAAGTTATGGCGCAGAATTCACTGTTTTCTTCAGGGCCAACAGCAGGAAACTAGAATATGCTACTGACAATTGACTATGGATTGATTGGCTGGACGAAGGTATGCATATGCGCCTGAACATGTGAGTTTTATATTTAGTTAATTTAGGTGAACATTTTTTGTTTTCAGATTTCATATAATTTTCAAATCCTCTAATAATTTCAGGTTGTTCTGCAGGAGTCCATTAGAAAAATTGAAAGCTATGGCGCAGAATTCGAAATCACAACAGATGCGTTCAAGATACTTCGCACAATACGACATGCTTCTAACAGTTTGGACACCAATGCAATGCTCCGCTAATATTGATGCAAACACGGAGTTCTCGGCATTGACAATTGAGCAAGTGAATGCATCGGAAAACGATCTTGAAACAGTGAGTTTATTTTAAGAGGGTGTGGTTGTTTTTTATCCCCGACAATTAAAATAGATTTTAAAATTTCAAATCTCACTTTCAAGTTGTTTTCACTATCCCAAATTTACTCCTGCTCACATTCCACATCTAATCCATTTTTTTCAGTGTCGAGAAGAGCTGTTCAAATTGGTCAATTCCGAAACAATTCTGATAGGTCACTCACTGGAATCAGATTTCAAAGCGCTTTGTTTGGTCCACCACAATGTAGTCGACACTTCATTATTATTCAAAAGTGGGCCACACAAACCTGCACTGCGGAACTTGACGAAACAACACCTTGGAAGAAATATCCAATCAGACAATGTCAACACTTTTGGACATAGCTCAGCTGAAGACGCAAAAGCTTGCATTGATTTGGTCAAGGAGTATATAACTTGTCATCATTGAAATCTACGTCATTATTCAATTTTTATTGGCTATGGGCGTACCAATGGATTATATGTTTATGCATCAGAAATGTGAGTTTTAAATTTACACAACATTTTACCTGGTTGAGAAAAAAATTATGACTTCAAGATTTTTACAAAAAGCTTTGAACTTGAAAAACATTTTTGAGATAAAAAATACTCAAATGTTGTTTTTTCCAGGTGTCGATCACAAGTCTATTTTTTTCAACAGTTCTGATTGGACATTCATTGGTGTCCCGTTGAATAGAGCTGGACCAATCAATGGATTATATGTCAGAAATGTAAGATTTATATTTATATTAGTTAGTTGAGTTGGGAGTTTTGTTTTCTGATTTCATACAATTTTCAAATCCTCTAATAATTTCAGGTTATTCTGGAGGAGTTCATGGCGAAAAGCGGAAGTTATGGCGCGGAATTCGAAATCACAGCAGATGCATTCAACATACTCCGCACAATTCGACATGCTGCTAACAGTTTGGACACCAATGCAATGCTCCGAACTGGCTGAATTGGCTTGACTGTGAAATGGTATCCACGACATATGGAGCAGCACAGAATTCGAAATCACAACAGATGCGTTCAAAATACTCCGCACAATTCGACATGCTGCTAACAGTTTGGACACCAATGCAATGCTCCGAACTGGCTGAATTGGCTTGACTGTGAAATGGTATACACGACTGCTCAAACAGCATTGGCACCCCTGCGAAACTTGAAGAAACACACATCGGAGCTGGAAACGCTAAAGCTTGCATTGATTTGGTCATCAGAAATTATGATAATTGATTGGCTGGACCAGTGGTCTGAAAAAGTGAGTTTTATGTTTGAAAATGCCCTCTCAGTTTTGAAAAAAATTTTAAATACTTTTATAAAAAATTAATCCTCCTTCACCATAATTTTCTGGACAATAAAGAACTTTCTGATTTTATCTCATTTTCAAATCCTCTAATAATTTCAGGTTGTCCTGGAAGAATTCACAGCAAAAATCGGAAGAATTCACTGTTTTCTTCAAGGCCACAAACCGCAAATTATAATATGCTACTGACAATGGACTATGGATTGATTGGCTGGACCAATCAATGGATTATATGTCAAAAATGTGAGTTTTATATTTAGTTAGTTAATTTAGGAGAAAATTTTTTGTTTTCTGACTTCATATAATTTTCAAAACCTCTCGTCATTTCAGGTTGTCCTGGAAGAATTCACAGCAAAAATCGAAAGTTATGGCGCAGAGTTCACTGCTGTTTTTTTCAACGCTACAAATAGCAAATTGTGACATGCTACTGTGAGTTTTATATTTGAAAATGCCCTTTACAAGTTTGCAAAATAATCATTTCAGATTGCTCTGGAAGAATTCACAACGTGTTGGCCTCCAATGCAAAAAAAACATGCGTTCAAAAGAAGATTTTTTGGACAAGAAAAGTTTCCTATAATTTGCTAACTTTTTTTAAATTTAAAATTTTATTCTTCTTGTATTATTTTGCTTTTTTTTTTAATCTGAAGATAAATTTTTCACTGTATTTTGATGACCAAGTCAGAACAGAAGAAAACTTCAGAATATGGCTCCCAGAAGTTTCCGGCAATGTTTGGATACAGGATCGTATAGATCTTCTCCAAGTTTCGAACAAACATGTTGATTTCAATCAATATGAGTTACCTGAAGTTATTTTCTTCTTCATTTCAGAATTCTCCAACAAAACCTTTCCCCAAATCCATATTTTTCAATTAGTTTTTCGAAATAACCTTTGTTCAAAGAATCAAAAATATTTTGCATATTTTCCAAAACTTCCATTTTTTTTTAAATAATTCCACCCTTATTGGTTCAAATTTTCCAGAAAAAAAGATACCACTTGATCTTGATAACAACTAATAACGAACAAAATAAAAAGACATGCCACTTCCTCAAACATTCTCTATCTTTTTCCAGACAAATTTTCAGCAACATTTGTTCGAAACAATTTTTTTTTGTTTCAATTTTGATCGATATTTTTTGAAACAAAAAATGGTGAATTTTCAGATCAAAAAGATGGTGAAAGAAGAAAAAGAAGAAGAAAAAAGAGAAGGAAATGAGGAACCAGTGAGAAAACGGTGAGTTTTTATAAAACTGGGTCCTAAAAAATTTCTGAAGCGTTTTGAAATTTGTGAAAAAATAAGCTCAAAATTCCAAGGGTTTCCAGCTCACGTCTCCTTAGCTCGCCAAGAAGAAAAAATGGAATCACATGCCAGGATTTAGAAGAACTCGCTGAACAAATCAACACACTTTGCAACACAATCATCCAAAATGCTCTTTCTGATTTAACAATTCAAACAAAATTGACAGTTGAAGATTTGGTTATTGAACATTCTTCCCCAACATTTTCAAAATTGCAGTATCAATTAAACGCGGCTGAATTGAGAGCTTTGGATCAGGTCAAAGATATTTGTGAAGAAATGGATCTGGAAAATGATAAGTATCTTGAATCTTTCTCGAAAGAGGAGAAAACACCTTCCGATATTCTGAATTTGATCGAAATTGTTATGCAACGCTGCATCAGAATAGCCAAAAAAGTGGAGAAATTTCGAGAATTATCAACGGATTCGAAATTTGCTTTGTTGAAAAAAAGGGATGATTGAGATTATGACAGTTCGAGGTGCTGAATTATACAACTGGGAAACGATTTCATTTGACACCCCAACTGTTAAAAATGCTTCAGTTGACATTCAACAAATGTTCTCGAAATTGAATGATTGTTCGAGTTGTAGCAAACAGCAAGGCAGATGTTTGGAGTTTTTTGATTTTCTTGATCTTGAAGTGAGATCCAATAAATTGGCCATGAAAATTTTCACATTGGCAGTGTTGTTTACTGTGAGAGAAATGGAGAAACCCAATGAAAAAGATGAGGAGATTATTATAACACAACATAACCATTACTTGGGTTTATTGAGAAGGTAAACTAGATTAAAAATTTTGAAAAATGTTGATTGGAAATTTCAGATACTTGGAATCATTATATGGCGATGATGCACATAAGATATTTGACAAAATACCAGATGCTTTGGAAATGTTGAAAGTAAGTTCATGGGTGGAAAAATATCAGGAAAAGTTCTGTAGCTGTTATAAGAAATTCTAAAAATTCAATTTTCAGGAAATCGCAAAAGGTTCGGCTGCCTTGTTTGTTGGAATGAAGCGTAAAAACGATAACCAGCCACTTTCTAACGAGATATTCGGAATTCAAACATAATTTTTTTTTCGAATTTACAAGTATACTGTATTTATGGGCATATATATTCAAACGTTGTAATTTTTTTTGTAATTGATGAATTAATGTTAATAAGCTTAATTTTGTAATGAACCGCATTAATAAATTGATACTTATCCTAACTATGAAATTTTAAAAAATGTATCTTTATTTTTCGTTGTCTCTGATTTTCTGCCGGATTTTCACGACCTTTAACCTTCAAAAATAGCTTAATAAATATTTTGCTTCCCAAAAAAAAATACCCAAAGTCAAATTCAGATTGTTGAAATTTTTATTAACTTTTTGCAAAACGGTACAATAAAATTTTGAAACCATATTCCTACATAAAAGACTATTTCAAAAAAAATGTGGGGCAAAAAAATCGGGGGAAATACACACACGCAAAAAAAACTAAAATTGAGGATTACAAAAAAAATTAGGTAATCGTTGTTTGTTTCAAAGAAAAAAATATTAGAGGGCAACATTTTGGGGAGAGAGGTGAAATGTTGTTTTGTTTTTGAAAAAAAAAATGGGGGAAAAATGTGGGTATAGAAGTTGAGATGAGGAGGAAAAGGAAAAGGAAATGAATAGAATCTATATTAGAAGTAGAGGTGATCAGTTGTGTTATATATATATTCATATGTATATATCAAATAGAAGAGCTAGATTTGTGTGTTTATGGTGAGGTAGTGCAAAAAGTTCGAGGTTTTGTGTTGTATATTAATCATTTGGGTCAGTATTTAACAAATATCATCTAATGAATCATTTTCAGGTTATTACCGTATTCTATATAGTATACAAAACAAATAAACCAGTGAGTGGAAAAAACAGGGTGAGGGTACAGAAGAGGAGGAAATTAAAGGGACAGAGAAGGGTGCAGGGGTGGGAGAATATCTAAAGGCATCACAAAACAACGATAAATTAACACATTTACACAGAAAAATTTTAGAGAGAAAATGCAGACACTCGACGAAGAAAAACACGAGTGAGTGAATCACAAAATAAATTTAAAAAAAAAAAATTTGGTAGGAGATGGGAGATGGGAACAGAGATAGAATAAAAATCCTAAACCGGGGTTAGATAGATAGTTTCGAAATGAAGAGGAGATGAAAACCGGAGACCGCTATACACTCGCAATTGAGGGAATAACCGTAAAGAGGAGACAATTTGTGTGGGTTGGGTTTTTTTTTGTTTTTTTTTTTGGGGAATAATTTTGGGAAATCTCCGAATTATGGTCTCGAAATGAGTAATCAAAAATGAATATAAAACGAACAAGCGATAGTGATATGATCTTGAGTAAGTCCTAATGATAAAAAATAAACAAATACAAATGAAAGAAAATGGCTAAAAGGGTGTTAATACAATAAACATTTTTGTGGGGGGATACACGTAAAGTGACATTAAATGTGGTTTGGTTGGTGTGTGTATACTTCGACTTGTTTTTTTTTGATTATTACTATTTTGTTGTTGTTGTTGTTGTTGTTTATTCAATTTTGAAAAACTCTTTTGGTAGTTCTTCAGCTTCACCAGATCTAACAGTACCCATGAATAGTGATCCCGCGTTTCTCGCAATGTCCTGGAAAAATATTGATTTTTTTTTTGGAATTTCTGAGGGTTCGGAGAAACTTACGTTTAACATTGCAAGAGCTTTTGGTAACCGTTCACAAACGCGTCGAGCTCCTTCGCCATACAGCGACTCCAAATACCTGGAAATTTAAATTATTGATTTTTTGAAGTGTTTCAGGCAGTATTTTTCATTTCAAGCGACTTTCAGTGGTTTTTTTTCAAAAAGATCTCGGTACCGAAAATTCAAAAATATTTGCTTCGAAATTGAGTTAGCCAAAAATTTGACAAAATTATGAACTGACAAAATTATGAACGTGAAATTTTAAAAGAAGATGCCTGGATTACTGTAGATCAAAATCTGTGAAAAGGGGTCAGAGGTTTTTGAGTTACTGAAACTTGCATACTGTAGCTCATTTTTTCATAGGGAAATTTGAGAATCTGAAAATTCTGCCCCCTGAAGATGCTATTTCAAATGAGTATAGCTCATTTTTTGCTCACATCAGAATAAGTTTGCTCAAAAAATAGCTCCCCAGCTGCAAAAAATTGCCCATACCTATTCAGTAAGCTCATAAAGTGATTGTGTTGCCTTTCGACAATTCGAACATCATTTTCACTCATTGGCGGATCATTTCTCACAGAGAACAATACAGCCAACATCACCAAATGCACCGCAATTTCATTGCTTTTGATTTCCTGATCAAAAAATCGGAAAAATTCCAAACATTTCTGCTTTTGCGCTTGTGCATTCGCATTCAATTTTGCAAACATATCATCAACATTGACCGAAACGTTAACACCTTTGATGGTTGGAGTTTTGAAGGAGTTGGTTTCCGCGTCATATCGTGTGACACCACGAATTGTCAACATTTCAATCATCCCTCCTTTCAACAATGAGAATTTTCCTTCTTGTGAAACTTCGCGGAAAGCAGCGACGCTCTTCGCAACTTTTACGAATCTTCTCATTGTAACATCCATAATATTCATAATATCTGCTGGTGTTTTATTGGGTTTCAAGAATGATTGAAGTTGTCTTCCCTGCTCCATCTGATCATCCATTCCACCAAACGCTTCATTCACAACATCCAATGCTTTCAATTCAGCCGCATTTAATTGATAATTCAATCTTGTGTCAGAATTTGGGAAATGCGATTGCTGTTCAATATCAAAGATCTCGCTTTTCGGCATATGTTGTTGTGCACCTTCAGCCATATTTGGTGTATTATTTTCCGGGCTATCCAACGCTGATTGAATGATAGTATCACAGAAGGAGTTCATACGGCGGAACATTTCTTCAGCCGCGTCACCGCCTCCTGTTGCTGTTGCCATTCCCATTCCGAATGTTGCGATATCGAAATATGGTTGATTTCCGGTTGGATATTGTGCGGAATTGTTTCGGTTTAGAGACATTTCAGCCATTTGTGCGTTGTATGGTGGAGTTGTGTTGGATGGCGGCATTGGATGACTATTACAACCATATGCAATTCTGAAAAAATTTTGGAATTTTCAGCTTGAAATTGATTTTTTCACGAGGGAAGTGTGTGACCAGTCCCCGGAGATTTTCAATGTGACCTATGTCCTTTTGGTCAGTTTTTCACGCTGATAAAGCTCCTGTTTTCAGTTTTTGCTGAACGACTCTCTGAAGAGCCCAAAAATGAGCCAAAAGTTGAGAATTTCCTGAAAATCGCGTTTTTGGGAGCCCATAACTCATGTTAGAAATTATTTTTATGGAAAACTGAATTTATCACGTTGTTCAGGAGGTTCGATTTACCAAAGTCACAAATTTTTGATTAGTAAGTCCATAATTTTTCAGAAAAAAATTTTGTGGCTCAGAAAATAGGCTCAGGTCATGGATTGCACATTTGAAAATTTTTGGAAAATTTTGTCAAAACTTGTGACTTTGGTAAATCGAACCTCCTGAACAACGTGATAAATTCAGTTTTCCATAAAAATAATTTCTAACATGAGTTATGGGCTCTCAAAAACGCGATTTTCCGGAAATTCTCAACTTTCGGCCCATTTTTGGGCTCTTCAGAGAGTCGTTCAGCAAAAACTGAAAACAGGAGCTTTATCAGCGTGAAAAACTGACCTAAAAACATAGGTCTCATTGAAAATCTCCGGGGACTGGTCACACACTTCCCTCGTCAGATTCAGATTTTGTAATGAAATATAGTTGCTCTCACACTAATTTAATTTTGGAATCGAGAAAACTTGTCTTACTGTAGCACTATTTCAGCTGTGTTTTGACCTTTTTCCGATCCCTCAAATTTCACAGAGAAAATAGTGCTACCGTATTCAAATTCAAATAGTCGCTTCAGGACCATTTGAATTTGAATACTGTAGCACTATTTCAGCTGTGTTGCTCGCTTAGGCTGTTTTTTAGCGTGCATATCGAGAGAAAATTAGCAAGAGATCACAGAGAAATCGCTTAAGGATCAAAATTTGAATACTAATTACAAAATCGCAATCTGCAAATCTTACCGTTTCGAGATCGGTTCATCATCAGTCATCATACCCGGATGCACTTGATTACCCGGAATTCTGGCAAGAAGTTGCTTGTACTCTTCGGCAGAGAGGACAACCTATAGAAAATCAATTTTGACTTTAAATTGTCTGAAAATGATGATGTCAATCCAGGTTTTTCATGGGGGGGGGGGACACACAAACATAGCCAACATAAAAAATAGGAGAAGAAAAAAAATTTGGAAAAAAATCATAGAGAAGAGTGGATTAGTCGGTTTGAGAAAAAAGAAACAGTTTTTACCTTTCCGTTTTGATCAAACTTTGGGCGAATATTTGTAGTTGGCGAGCAGACGGTGGATGTTGAAAGAAGAAGATTCTCCTCACTGGGCAATGATGTGATTCGCATGATATTCGGATCGTACTAGAAAATGAAATCACACTAATGCATTCAAAAAATAAATGGAAATGGAAATGATTTCGAAAATTTCGGTGGATTTATATATGTGTATATGTGCAAAAAGAGAACAGAGTGATTACAACAATGTGTTAAGATATATATGATAGTGTATACTTTGATTTTTTTCAAAATTTTAGTTGTGAATCTAACTAGATTCCTATATATGTACATAATAATGACCACACATTTTGCAAACAAAGGTAAAAACACCATTCTTTTTCTCCCGACTCGAAAAAATCGATGCCGATTTTCAGATAACTTACACCGTCATGATTCTTATCCCCATTATGTTGCATCATTGTCAGATTTCTTGATGGCGGAGAATCTGAAGACGTTGATCCAACTGGTGAAGTTAGTGGATATGTTTGCCCTCCTGGCGGACTTATTAAAGATGGTGGCATAACATTCGGCCGAGATGGTGTCATATGATGAATCTGGAAAAAAATTTGGTTTTTTTTGGTTCAGAATGACAGAAAATCGAATCATCGAATTAAAAACACAATTAAATTCATTTTTTTTGTTGGAAAAACCCTCTAGTTTTTTGAAACGAAAAACTGCCGCACAGTTTTTTTCAAAAACAATGCGTCGTGGGTGGTCTATTTACCTGATTTTCAATTAGCAACGGCCTTGTTTGTTGTTGCTGAAAAATAATTGGTTGAAAATTCCTCTTAAAATTCCCAGAACTCACATAAACTGCAACAGCTGGATGTCCAAGTGAATTTTGTTGATGTTGTTGTGACGATGGTTGTTGCGGTCGTTTGTTCGATGTGGTGTTATTCAATCGCGAATTTTTCCGCCTTCTCAATTGTTCCTCATTCAAAATCCACTCCTTCTTCATGCCAACCGAAAAGCACTTTCGCAACCGACATTTTTGACAAAACCGCCGGCTGACCGAATTGATTTCGCAATCTTCCGAATACGGACATTTGAACTCTTTTGGTCGAAGCGCGTTGCGACGGAAGAACGCTTTACACGACTCGCAAGTGATGACGTTGAAATTGTAGCCGGTCGCATGGTCGCCGCAAACACGGCATGTTTTTTGACGACGTCGCGATTCATCGGATGATGAGTCAAGGTTGCCGTCGTCTGGCGAACCGCAAGCGCCTGATGGTTCTTCTACTTTCAGGCCAGCTGCGTGATATCCTAGAAAACACACATTTTGTTTTTCACTCTCATGTTGTTTATCCGGAAGAGAATTAAATATGAAAGGATAAAAATTGTTATTTTTTTCTCGCTCTTAATTCTTACAGTAATGTTCTCACGATTATTTCGTTCTTGTTTTTCGAAAAACTTTTTGTTTTTTTCAAAAACTATACGATTATGAAATGGCCTAGAAAACCAATTCTCTTCCACGGCATTTTTTGAACTAACCATTCATTCCAGGCGCGGCTCCAATTGATGGTGGACTATGGATGACAGGATCATCGGGGGTGCTCATTTGCGGCTGCAAAAAATTATTGATTGAAAATTTCAAGAGTGTTTTTGGGCCCCCGATCTCTTCTGAAATCTTTCCCGGGTCTCCCCTGGACCCTCCCCCTTGGGGCCCTACCCCCAGACCCCCGCCCATATTTGACCTACAAAAAATTGAGCTAACGACTGAATTAATTGTTGAAAAAAATAATAACGATACACATAGTTAGTATCTTGAAAATTCATTTTTTATAATATTCTAGATCGAAAAATAATACAAAATAACGAAAAGGGCAATGCCGGGCAAAAGGACTGTTTTTGAGCGGCGGGGAAAAAATATGTGTTGTTGTGTTCTGTGTGTCTCTTTCTTTTTCCCACCGTTATAATTCTCGAATTTTGTCAAGCGCGCTTACATTTTTTTTTTCGTCTTCTTCTTCTCAATTTTTTTTTGTTTTGTGTCATAAAGAAATGTTGTTTTTTCTCGGAAAAAGATGACACGAAATTTTTGCGAAAGAAAACAATGCCGGAAGGGCAAAAACAAACCTTTCCATAGAATTTCAACATTGACCAGTTGATGTAATTTGGGGATGATAACAAATTATCAGCCATTTTTAAATTGATTTGATATACACAATATATAGATTCGAGGTAGGTTTGGAATGTTTCGAGATACAAAAAGTTTGGTTTTGAGAGGTAGGTTTACAAATATTGTTTTGATTAAAAATAGAAAATGAGGTAGATACAATTCTTGACTCCTTATGGGTGAAAATATGCTTGATTCACATTCGCGGCGTTTTCCGTTTGTTGATTATCAGCGCATTGAGAATCACCAGCTGACGCGGGCTGCCTTTAAGAAAATAACGCAAAATGTATGTATAATTTTTTGAGAGAGGCAAATAACATACGGCGAAAAATAACAATTATTTGAAGGATACGGTAAGTTAAGCGTTCAGAAAACAACAAATATGAATAATAATTTTAAAGATTGGAGATATTGAAATGAAAATGAAATGAAATGATATGAAAATAAAAATTGAAACTTTTATTATTGATAGATGTTTTTTTGAGAAAATAGATGATAACAGAGTAGAGTAGTAACTATTGATTAGGAATTTCTGTAGATTTTTGGAAAAATTTGACAAGATCTAGGAGAAAAGTTGATATACCGTGAAAACAATTCAGGTTTTTAAAATTCAAATTTCAAAATTCCAGAAATTCTTAAAGTATATTTTGACAAGATCTAGTAGAGGATTTGATCTACCGTGAAAACCATTCATGTTTTTTTTTCAAAAATTTCAGAAATTCTTAAAGTGTAAACGTCCAAAATTCAACTTACAATTAAAAAAAAACTATTTTTGATCTACTTTTAAATTTTCAGAAAATTTGAAACCTAGATTTTGAAGCACACAGTGTATTCTAAGAACCTCGAAAAATCCAATGATTCAAAAAATGAGAACATATTTTTGAGAGCTTCATAGAGATTTGTTCAAGTTCAATAATTTTGAATAAGGAACAACAATAGAACTACGAGAAATAAAAAAGATACAGTAATCTTTCGCACATCGAAAAATGAGCAGAATTATGATTTTTTCTAACAATAGACTGTTAACTACGATGTTCCTAATTACAGTGCTATTCAGTATTCCGGCCGAATCAATCTATTTGAAATGCATCTCTACAGAAAGCGAAATGAGCACTTGTTTTGACTCTTCTTGTTGTTGATGTGATGCAAAAAGGAAGAAGGAAGAAAGAGAAACGAAAAATAACGGAAAAAAGAAAATAACATGAAGGAGCAAAATAAAAAACAGGCACACACACACCAAAATGACGACGAAGAAAGAAGACGACGATGAAAGAAGAAGACGAAAACACGACAGAAGAAGACGATGTTCGCTGCTCGTCCGGACGAACGAACGAAAGGAACGAACGGACTGAGACTGACTGACTGAAAAAAAAACAGAAAAACGAAAATAATGCTCAAAATCGATGCTCGACTGCGCAGCGTTCGTGTCCCCCCGGCTGAAAAACAAAACTTGTTTTTCGCCGCCTCAAAATAGGCAACAACGACGACGACGGATAGAAAAACACGAAGCAAAAAAAGAGACATAACCAAAATATATACTCACAGTCCCTTCGAAAACAACTAGTTTTTCAGAAGAACGTACTGAAAAAGTTCACAGTGAAAAATGTTTGAACTTTTTGGAGGGATCGATAATTTCAGAACTACATACTAGATTTGTTTGAATTGGGAGACTCAACAAGTTCAGGCTGGAAATTTGAACTTCTAGGGGATCGATATTTCACAGAACTGTTTTGGATCAACAGGAAAGTTCAACATCAATATTTGAACCTTTGGAAGATTCTATAGTGAATGAGGAAATCGGGAAAACACAGCAATGTAGAATTCTGAACTTCGAAAATTTGAGAATTCATTTGAATTTTTACCAGATTCAGGAAATCGGAGAACAAGATCTCAAAACAAGCTAAGAATCTGAACTCTTAGTTAATTCTAAAGATCAGCGAATAACAAGAAATGTAAATACCTATGATCAAAGTAGTTCCGAGAAAATCATCATTTTTCAGATAATCTGAACTTTCTAGATATTCTAGGAATCAGGAAAACCAGCGAGGGCCAAACAATTTTTCAGATTCACATTTTACAGAGAAATGTTTCAAGTCAACAAAACTTATCTGAAAATTTAACTTCTTTTCAGATCGATATTATTTTTCACGTACTAAAGATCAGAACTAAAAAAAATCCAATATTTTCATCGAAAAAAACATGTGAACACCTGAGGTCATAAGTAATTGGGAAATGGAACAATTGTCGTCTTGAGCCACAGATCGCAATCATAGATAATTCAGAAAAAAAACTTTTCTTAAGAATTTGAAATTCTATATATTCTTCTAAAAGAATCAGGAAATGTTATTAAAGATAGTGAAACTCTGAAAACCTACAGTAAACTTTCCAACAAAAAAATATTTCGAAATTATAGAATCAATTTAAAAAATCATGCTTTGCTCTAAAATTGTTTTCAGATGATTCAGAATCATGAAAATAAAATTGTGAAATTCAAAAAATCTACAGTACACCTTTAAAAAATGATAGAGTCGATCAGGCGGTCAAAAAGAGTCATGTTGTTCTAGTCAGGTCTGTTTTTTCAGACAGTGAAGGGGGAGAAAAAAAAAAGAAAAAAAAAACGAGACCTCGATTATCTATCGGGGCGTCTATGTTATTTTCATTGTACTCTCGTCCGTTCACGTTCACTTTTTCTCTCTACCTCTTATTTTTCTTCATGTGTCTGTTGTGTGTCATTCGTTTTTTTTCTTCTTCATCTTGCTGGAAGGAATCCCGTCCGCCTGGGGGGCAGGGAGGCAGAAAGAAAATAACACAAAAATAAGAGACATAGAGGGATGGAACAGGCAAAAACATTGCCTCGCGATTGGTCGGCTCACATCTGCAAATCGGCTCCGCCTCTCACTCCCATCAAACTCTCTTCTATCTCAATGCTCTTTCCAACGCTCTCTTTCACTTTTCGAACGACATCGACACAACAACAAAGTATACGGTAAAAAGGGGACGAGAGACACACAAAAAAATATGATATAGTAGTAAGTCAGTCTTTTTCACCCTCGTTTCTAACTTGACTGGACGAGGCCCCCCCCCTCAGGGGGGAGGGCGAAAACAAATATTTGATGTGTGGATGATTTGAGAAAGAAGAAACAACGATGATGATGAAGATGATGAAAAACAATTGGCAAAGCAGTAGCACATTTGTTTTTTCAGTCAAAACAAAACAAGTTGAGAATGAGTACCGTCCGGGGATTTTTTTTTTGGACTAACTCGAACTTTAAAAGGGCGCTGGCGGTGGAGATGCAAAAAATGAGAGTTTATTTTGAGTTCGCCCTTTTTTGGGTAAACAATTTTTGCAAGAGAATATGGTTTTACAAATGTTTTCAAGGGCTTGGAGAATTCGAAGGGACTTCGAGAAAAACTATTTTTGATCTACCAAGAAAAAATTACACACTGTGAAATCCTAGGAGGCAATTTCAAGAGAAAAGATACAGTAGGAAAAACATTTTTGATCTACATAAAAAGTTCTGAAGCCTGGATATGTTCGAGATCGGGAAAAAACACACACTGTAAAATTATGGGTCCAAAATTTTCAGCGAAAAAATTTCTTCAAATACAGTAGGACAACATCTAGAAAAATATATTTTTGATCTACCAGAAAGCTAGAGAAAACTGTAAAAGCTCAGAGCTCAAAATTTCAGCTAAAAATAATTTTCAGACGGTAGGAAAAACGAAAATCAAAAATGAGTATTTTTGATCTACCTGGAACAATTTTGAGGCCTAATTACACATTGTGATATTCCGATTCCAAAAATTTTCAGAAATATACAGTAGGAGCAATATTGTTGATCAAGAAAAATTTTGAAGCTTATAGAGATTCTCGAATCCTGAAGAGAAATTTCAGATTTTCTCCTATTCCTCCTCCAGCAAAAAAATAACCACTTACAGTAGGAGTGTGTCTAGATAAATTATTCTATTCACACTCCAACAAAAAGAAAAAAAAACAAAAAAAAAGACCTCCCCAATTGCACAATGAGTAATGAAACCGGCGTTGGATAAAAGGTCGTGAAATTTAAAATGAATGGAACAATTGTTATTTGAAAATTGATTAGATGTACAAAAAAATGTTTTCATTTTCAGACAATATAAGTTATGTTTTCCACGAAGTTAATTAAAAAATATTTGTATAATATCATATATGGGAGAAATAAGGGCGGAAAGAAGAAAGAAAAAAAAACAGAAAAACAACAAGCAGCATAGAGAATGGTGGACTCGTTTACGTGGAAAAAGGGGTGTGTGTGTGTGTGTTTGAAAAAAATAAAAAGTGCATCAAAAGTGCATCCAAAAGAAAACAACTGTAAACAATCGTCCTGTTAAAGTACTACTGTAGGTGCTCTCCATTTTTTTATTGTGTGTATGTATTTATATATTTATGAAAGAAGACGGCGATGGTGAAAAATAACAAAGTGCATTCAGTGGAAGAAGGAAAACTGGTACACAACAGAATTTTGTTTTTGATCTACTGCTACTAACTATTCTGTTTTTCCATGGAATCGCTAAATATTATTTTTGATGAAGAGATGTCTTGAGGGATTTGGATTTATTATTTATTTACATATTATTTTAGCTAGATATGATAAATAATTATTTTTCAGAAAAAGGTCTGATATTGTTTTTAATGTGTGGCAACCCTGTCCTATCTATATTTCGAAAAAAACAGGTATTCTGGTGTCGTAACATACACTAACTAAAAAAAAATAAAATACCAAAAAAAAATTGTTGTCGAGACGCAAAGTGAAAATAATTAAATGTGAACGAGGTTGGGTTGAAAAAACACACTCACATAATAACATGAGAGAGGGAAAGATTACTGTAATTTCCTTGTCTAGAATAACAATAACTATGAGTGAGCTTGGGGCTTGTATCTATTATCAAATTTGTTTGTTGTCTGCCGCATGCGCAGAGGAGAGGAGGCGAGTTCCTAATTAAGCATGAATAACAACAACCTATTCGGACTACGGTAGCTCACTCACTCATAATATTATTTTTTTCATATTCTCTTCATATCATATCATAAAAATATATATACTGTACTCTGATTGGAAAAAATAAGGAAATGATAAATGTTTTCATAACAAGAAATAAATGTAGCCAGCAGTGGATACAAAAAATAGCGTCATGAATTACGGTAACTCCTCTTCCTCGGAATGTATTTAGATGTTCAGGAAATCAACAATATTAGCTTTTGCCAAAATAATCTTTTTCAGAAAAAAGCTATAAATTTGGGAGGAAAAACTATTTTTGCCCCAAATGAAATATGATCGGGGAAAAAAGTACTGATGAACTTATAGAATTTGAGTTTGGAGGAAAAAAAGAAGATAAACATCCATATATTTCAAAGTCAGGTGTCAACTTAACTTTAAAAAATAGTAGAGAGCCTAGAGAATCTGGAAAGCCTAAAGAGCCCAGAGAGCCTAGAGAGCCTAGAGAGCCTAGAGAGCCTAGAGAGCCTAGGGAGTCTAGGGAGTCTAGGGAGCCTAGGGAGTCTAGAGAGCCTAGAGAGCCTAGATGTCTAGAAGTTTTGAGAACCCAGAAAGCCTAGAGAGCCTAGAGAGCCTAGAAAGCCTAGGGAGTCTAGGGAGCCTAGATGTCTAGAAATTTTGAGAACCCAGAAAACCTGAAGAGCCTAGAGCCTAGACATCTTAGAAGTTCAGAAGACTATTCAAAATTCCAGCATGATAATTCTGAAACATGAAGTAAAAAAAAACTATACAATCGAGTCCAGTCAAACAGAAAAAATAAACAATTGGCTTTGGAACGGCGGAGAGAGACACAAAAAATGAAAAACTAATAGTACTAAAGTCGTTCTAGTTTTGTTTGTGTATGTGTGTGCCTCGGGCATTGAGGACGACAGCCTAGGCGAGCCAATCTATCCATCCAACCAACCAAGAAGAAAATAACAAACAACAACAACAACAACAACAACAACATATTTACTAGTAGTACTAGTACTAAACGAGAGGGCGCTTCGCCTCAGATCGGCGTGCGCGCGCCGAACATACATAAATATACACAAAGTGTGCCAAAAGCGAAAAACATCAACAACTGCAGCACAAAAAAAATATAGAGAGAAGGAGAAAAAATATATTCTTATTCCTTTCTGCGAAAACAACACAGTATAAAAAATATGAAAAATCTACAGCTATTTTATTTTTTTATTTTTTATATCAAAACAATGTTTACCCCCCAAAAAAATTTTCTGGCAAAGTGCCCGACAAAAAACTGGAATTGTTTGTGCACTGGTGGACTTGTGAACTGAGAGTGACTGACTTGAAAAACAAACTTTTTTTTTCGGCTGATTTTTGGTTGTGTCGATGTGTTTTTTTTTCATGTGTGTGTGGCAACAAAAAAAGGACGAGGGACGAAATGAAAAACAACTTTGGTGTTCTATTTATGAACAGATGGGGAGAAAATTCAACTTGAAAAGGTTCTAGGGAAGGTTTTATTGGAAAAAAATTTCAGAAAAAGCTTTTGAAAACGGTTAGTGTGAAATTTTCAGAAAATTGGAAAAATGTTTTTGGGTTACTGTATTCCAATTTAAAAATACAATTTAAGTGTATTTTTTTTAAGATCTGAGTTTTTTAAAGTAAAATATTGAAAAATAATTTTTTGGAAAACGGGTTACTGTAGTCTTAAATTTGATATCAGATCTAACAAACTACAATTCTCTTTTTGTATTTGGAAAAAGAGTTGGTTACTGTAGCCACAATTTATTAACAAAATTCTAGAAAATATAATTTCAAAATAAACTCTTAAAACCCCTTGGGTTACTGTACTTCAGGTTTTTCTATGGAACCTCAAAAATAAAAAAATGTCTCAAAAATCAAAAAATTTTCAAAAACCCCCCAGGTTACTGTAGTTAACCCCGCCTATTCCTAAAGGTCTTCAAAAAAACACACACAGAACTTGAAAATACATAATGATACAATTTAAAAAATACACACACACACACAAAATTTGATAAGATACTGTGTTGTTTTTAGTGGGTTAGAAACATATGTTTTTTATTTTTTGAGAAAAAAAATGTTCTCGAGGGGAAAAGTAGAACACCTGAACTGACTAGAGTTGCGATAAATTGGAATACGATGAGATAGAATCTTGGAAAAAAAAACTAGAACAACATAGGCGTAGGTCCTCAAGGCCTGGGTCCTTGAGATATGAAAATCCCTCAAGGCATAGCTCCTTGAAATAAAAAATAGAGAATTTAACCTAACTTTTCTGATAATTTCGGAAGAGCTGACTCCAGAATGCTCCAGAAAAAACTCAGATCTAAAACTTTAAGCAAAAGTAGAAAATTATAAGTTTTAAAATTCTCAGACTAGATTTGTATCGCTACAAAAAAAAGTGAACAAAAAAGAAAAGGTGTTCGAAATTGTTGTTGGAGAAAAGGCGGGATACGATTCTCGACCTACTATCTCTGGATAGGACAAAAACAACAACGACAAGTACAGTATACTGGTTCCATCGAATGACACGATTTTCGCATTTCATTTCTTTTTTTTTTTGTTTTTCGAAATTCCAATTGGATATGTGAGAGAGAGTGTATTTCGAACAAAAAACAACATATTTCGAAATCGAATAACATGCACTTTTTTTGAAATATGGAGAAAAAATCTTATTTTCACACTATTTAGAAAGCGGGCGAATAAAATGAGATGTGATGGGAAAAACGAAAGAGTTTCATTGTTTTTTTTATGGGAACCTTGTTTTGGAAAATGAAAAATGTACTTTGGAAAAATAAATGAAAACCCTGAAAGGCTGTGCTAGAAAAATTCAAAAATGTTTCAATGTTTAGTTAGGACCATTCAAAAATGAGCTCCGATTCAGAAATTTTGTGATAAAATTGGATTTTGGATAACTCCCTTTTCATGATCCGAATCTGAATCTAAATGGGAAACTGGTCAAGTTCAAAAATGCTATAATTGAAAAAGATTCCCGAAATTTCGGAATTTCCAGAATTTCTTCTCTCAAACCTCTTTTCCCAGAAAATCCCTTCCTTCTCCCAAAACTCACAGACTGCAATTCCTCAAAATTGAAATATTCAGTGACATATTTATCCTCTTCCACCCATTCTTTCGGAATTTCCAATTTTTTGAACTCATCAACAACTCCTTCATCCATGACTTCAATTTTCACTTCAACATTTTTCAAAAGCCTTTCAGGCTCAAAATTAAGCTCAACCTCTTTCTTAATCGATTTTCTAGATGTTGGTGGTGGCGGATCAGTGAAACTGATCTCATCTTGATGTAAAATCAGACCACCCGAATAACCATTATCAAAAAATTGTTGATTTTCAAAATACATCATATTCTGATAGCCATTACTGGTACTAGGATTATTCGGATATTCAAAAGAATTTTGATGAACTTCGAAGTTAAATTGATCTACAGACTGTGAAGAATTTGAAGAAAATTGATACATTTTATACCCTGTTAAATCAAAATATTGGTTTTATTTTCAAGAAAGGGCAAAAAAAACGAAAAAAAAGAGAGAACGTAACTTTTGTCGAAAAATTTTATTGTTATCTCGGAATATGATCAATTTTGGTTTGGTTAGGTTTTTTGGTTAGCCAATATATTTCGAAAACATAAAAAAAATAATCATTATTCTCAAGAAACATTGGTGAAAAATAAGTCTAGCCCTAAAATAATCATTTTTAGAAAAAATGATCAGAAATGAAGCTCAACTTTGAGTTCTTTTAAATCGAGACATTGAAATTGGCCAAAATTATTCTAAACTGCAACATTTATGTACAAATAATTGAAATATTAGATAAATAAGGGCAAAAAACATTGTGATGTTCGGAAAAAAATTATTTTTGGTTTCTTGGTGTTCAAAAATGACTGTAAAAAAATAAGAGATCAAAATTTTCTGCGCTGATCACAGTGACGTGAATATTACCTTTAAAAAATTAGGTTTTCTACTAAATGTGAGCCTCAAAATAATTCCTGATTGATTTTTGAACCTTCTAAAACTCACGACACCCTGATCAGCTCACCTAAAACTATAAGAAACCCTTGTAAAATCTAAGAAGTTCCCAATTTCCGCGCCGCGAAAAATTGAATAAAGTGTTCAAAAATGGCTATCAAGAAAAATGAGAGATTGAAAATGACATTGCTGCCAGTCTGCCGCGCGCTTGTCATCATACTAACCGGGGGTCTACCTACCACGAAGAACAGAAAAAGCAACACCGAGAAAAAAAAAGAGAACAAAAATGTTTTTAGTTTTTGGGTGTTGCGAATGTTTTGTTGTATTTGAAAGGAACAATACGGATTTTAGAAACAAAAAACCTTTCAATTCAATTTTTGCAAAGAAATTTTTTCTAACAAAAATTAATATGATAAATTCAAATATTTTCTAGTTAGAATATATTTTTTGATTAACCTATTCAAACTATTTTTTTTCAAATTAAAAAAAAAATTTTCTACATTCCAAGTTCGAGAAAAAACTGAGCTTTTCATTCAATAAACCTGTCAAATAAGTGAAAAAAAATTGGCACAGTTTGTAAAACCCGCCAACAAAGAAGCATAAATTTTGCATATGCTTTTGGTGTCCGCAGTATTGACCACCCTGGTTTTTTCTTATAAAAATGTCAATGTGTTCCGAAAAGCTACGGGATTTTGGGACAATGTGAAATAAATCATTTTTGATAAATCTTTGTCTGGCTGCTGGAAATTGGGATTTTTGAATTTTTTGGTTCGGAGAAAATTAGGACAGGATTTTTTGAAAATTCATAAAATTTTGAAAAAAAAACACCTGATATCAATTTTTGTTTTTTTTTAAATTTCTGCTTCAGTGATTTGATAATGTTAAACTCAGAAAACTCACATCAGCTTGAAATTTGAAAAAAAAACTTTGTTTTTCAATTTTTTATTCAGTGATCTGAGATTTCTAGAATTTAAGAATTATCTGAAAGTTTGAAATTTGAAAAGTTTCTGAAAAAAAATTCAGTCAGAACTTGTTAAATTTTTACATCTTGATTCAGATTCTGAAAATCAAAAAAAAGCTAAATCTTTGTTTTTTTTTCAGCAAATTTCTGCTCCAAGTCGTATTTCTAACATAAGAAAAACATATAAGAGATAGAAGAAAAAAAATCATAAATTGTCAGCTTAAAATAAAAAAGAACTGAAATGATTTCCAGCAACCCCTATCCTCAAACCCTATAATTATTTGTTGTGCTGCTCAAATCTTCCCCGACTTCTTTGAACTCTTTTAAAAGTGCAACATTGTCTTGTCAATATCAATTATCATCATCAACAACAGAATTCTACAGTATCCATCAAAAAATCGCAACATTTTTTTTTGCAATTCTCTCTTCTCTCAATGATGATATTGCTAATTATACACCTTTATATGTATAGGAAATTTATTTTGTTGTCTCTCTTCAAGAAGAAGAAAATTAGAAGGTCGTGTCGGACAACATCGCAAAAACTTGTTACGGTATATGGTATCTCATCTGTCCGTTCGTATTAATGAACATACATACATGGCTTCTCGCGCATCTCTCATTTTTCGCATAGTTTATTTTGTGGCTGTTCGCTTTTTTCCTGTGTTGCGAAAATTGAGAGAGAGAGAGAGAGTTAGAGAAAATAAACAAGGTCGCAACATTCAATCTTGCGCTGTCGCTCTCAAAAAGTGTTCCTGGCGCCCGAAAAAGACCTTGTGCGCTACTTACAATAACCTATATGTAGGTCGAAGCGGCGCGCGGAAAATTTATATACTATTTATTTTTTATATCGCATGTGGAAGGCCTCAAGAGTTCAGAAATCAATAAAATTATAGATGGCTTTTAGGGTGACAAAGTTCTGAGCTCACAAAAACTTTACTCACTTACAACTGGGAAAGAAGCTGGTACTGGGCATTGAACCCATGGCCCTGAGATTGACAGAAGCCACCACTACCACTTAACTAAATCCTACCATTTCTGATCACAAGAATAAAAAAAAATAGATATCAGAAAATCAGAACCCAAAATTTCTTAAAAGATCTCAACCAAAAATTCAAAAATCTATACACATGTTGAGAAAATAACAAAGCTGAAAATAATGATAAAATGAAAATTTAATCATGAGTGAAATCGATTCTGAACAAAGTCTCAAAAAAAGTTGGAAAACCATGACTACCATTTTGTTGAGTGTTCTTTTATTCAAGAAGCTATTTTAAGAAAACCCCCCATTTTTTGTTGGAAAAAACGTTAATTGAAGTCATGGGGTTCTGAAGTCATGGAAGAGGATGAATATGTCACGAATATTTTTTACCTGAGGAAATTTTGCTGAAAATTTGGAGAATTTGGGAAGGGATCAAGATTTTTTTGGATTTTATTCAGGAGCTGAAAAATATTCCGAAAATGTGAATCATAATTTTTTTGATTCAGTGAAGATCGGAGAATCAAAAGAGTCAAGATTTTTTTCAGAGAAATTCTGGTTTTCAGAAAATCCTAAAGTTGTCCAAATCTGAATTTTTGGAAAAAATAGTCCAAATTCCAGATCTGACCCAGAATTCTTCTCAAAAAGTCGAACTTGGCCCGATTCTTTTGCCGAAAATTCAAGATTTCTTGGAAGTTTTTGGTTCAGATTGAACTGTTTTTGATCTTTTTTTGAGGAAAAATTGAGATGATGATGATGTTTTTCTTCATCATATCATATGAAAAATGTTGTTTTTTCAGAATTTGATTGATCCCCCTTTTGCCCTGGACCCTCCCCCATTCCCGAATTTTTACTCCCCTCCCCCTTCCCGCATGCTCTCCCCCCTTCCCCGCCAAAATCACCAGAAGAGCACTAAACTCACCCTTAACGCTGCCAACATTTTATCAAAAGACAACAATCGACTGATTGGAATATTAGAAGAAGTATGTCTTTGTCTAGATGCGACACCATTACTCATATTAATAAACCAAACTAAATCCAGGAAAAAAATGAATAAACAATAAATAGTCAAAAAAAAAGTTGTTTGTAAGTTTTTTTTTGTTGTTGTTGGTAGTCGCTGGGGGTCGCCACACAGCAGCAGCAGCCAAAAAAAGAGTGACCTTGGAACGGCGGAACAAGAAGCGATGCGATGTGATGCGAATGCAAAATTGAATAGTTAGAGCACTTATGTCTATGCCGGTGGTGAGCGAGAAAAAAACACAGAGATCTTCTAACTAACTATGCGCTGCTGTTCTCCTTTTTTCGAGTGAACTACATTAATCTTAATAGTTTGACAAGTTTTGGTGGAAGGTTGTGCTGACCTGATGAGGAACGCGAATCGATGTTCTTATTATTCTCTATTTTTATTCCTTATTCCTAGTTTTATTGTTGTCCTGATTGTTGTCTAATAAGAACGAGGTTGTTGCGATTCTTGGTAATAAATTATGTTCAAGTTAGGGTAACTATAGATGCTCTTCTGATGAGTTTGGATCCCAGAAAAAAAAAACACTCACATCTTCATCGCTATTGGGTGGGCTGAGACAGTTCTTCTGTACATTTCTTCTGTGTCTCTGGAAAAATCGGAATTTTTGGGGGGAGCTGAAGATCTGGGGTTTCAGATTTGATTCTGAAATTGCACATATTCGGAAAAAGTTCAGGATTTATCAGATTTTGGCCTAGTTGTTCAAACTAAAGGGGTGATAAGGGTTCAAAAATCAATTTTGAATGAAATTTAGAAGAAATGTCGATATGACTATGCTGAATAGGATCATAACATCAGAAAAATGAATCTAGGGCAGTTTTAGAGCTCCAAAGTTCAAACTATACACAAACTTGATTTTTACCTCAAGTTTCAGTATGGTCACTTGATTTTATATTTCAAATATCAGAAATTTCAGCTTTTCTGGAAATTCTGGAAGTTTTCAACCAGACTTTATTCTCTGAAATTCAAGAAACAACATCTGAACATCAGAAAAAAATGATTTCCAGACAAATCTAGACCTCCTTTGGGATCAATTTACAACAACTCTCTGGGGTATTTATCATAACTTCGGGCTCGAAAATTCCCCAAGGAAATTTCCAGACATGCTGACAAAGTTTCTTCGCTCACATAACCAACAATTAATTAATCACCTCATCAGGAAGAAACCAATAGTCAAAAAAGTGTTGTTGCTCATCATAAGAAATATTAGGCAATTGCTCAAACATCATCAGAAAATTCTAGATTTCGAAAAAAAAGCAGCCGAAAATATTGTCCGGATGTTAGAAATGAAATGAAACAAATGTTTTGGTTTGTTTCTAGATGCCCACTTTTTTTCTGTGATGGGCAGGCAGGCAAGTTGCACTTTGAAGAAAAATTGATAAAATTATTTTCTTTGATGTTCTTTTTTTCCTGGTCACACTGTTTTTTTTGGGTTCCAAAATTATAAATTGGCTTGATTTCTGATGTTGCCATTTAGTTGTTTTTTCGTGGACAAAGGTCAATTGTCATCAGTCAAAAAACCATTTTTCAGACAGAAACATTTGATAGATTGGAAATTCTTGTCTAGTTCGTATTCTGAACTTTTTTTGGTTTATTTTTCAATTACAGAATTTTTTAATCAAGGATTGCACTTTGAAATGAAATGAGGAAAAAATGTTTTTTTTTTCAATCATATGATATGATTTATCGGAAAGATCAAAAATGATGAATTTGATTTTGATTTTCAGAAAAAATTAGAACTTGGGAGAAATCAACAATCAAAACATCAGAGGAAAAAATCCGACTTGCAGGAAGTTTAAAGTAACTTTTTTTTGTTCATGTTGTAATTTTTTCTTCTTGCGAAAAACTAGAATATAGTTAGGTTGAGTGAAACATTTTTTAGAGAATTTTTCAGAAGTTATGGTCAAAATTAGAATTTTAAGATTTTCAGAAATATTTCGAAGTATTCAGAATTTCGAAAATTCTGGAAATATCTATTTTTCATTTCATTTTGAAATTTCGAACTTCAAATTCTAAATCTTGATTTTACCTGATACATTTTTTCAAATCAAAAAAATCTAGAAATAATTCGAATAAAGTAGCAAAAAAAGCCTCAAGTCAAAAAATAATGATATGATAGATTTCGAACTGGAAAAGAACACCAATTAATTTGTTATTGAGAAATCTATCCCCCAGGGATGGCAAAAAGTAATCGAGTGAGTCAAGATTTTCAGACATTTCATCGTTTTTATAAGTGCAACATCAAGGCAATCACGTATGCAGAAAGAATGATAATTCAAGAAAAAACCAAACTAGAAATAGAATGGAAAAAGTGCAAATAAGGGAAAAACTAATTTGAGCGATGATTTTTTTTGAAAAAAAAATATTTTTCTGGGGGTTTGGATATTTTGATTTTGAAAATGAGTTATGACGTGGCAAATTTTCAAAAGTCTATAACAATTATTTTCAGGTCAAGCTAAAATACTTGAAAAACATTTTCGAGTTACTGAAACATTTTTCAGAAAACTTAATTTTTCTGAAACAAAAATATGGAAATTTGTAGGACTCATAAAATAATCTATGAAGACGCTATTAAAATTTATAAAAATTTCAGATTTGTGAGCTTTTTGAACAGCTTCTAAAGTAATGTTTAGAATTTCAGATCTAAACGTGGATGTTGGTCCAAAATTTGGAGGATTTCTTAAAGTCAACCTGATTTACTTTGCCACGTCAAAACTCATTTTTAGAGTTAAGCTAACTAATTTTTGACAATCGAATCATGATCAGCGGATCAAATTCTACTAGAAAATTTTATTCTATTCTATTAATTCAGAAGATCAAACTTCAAAAAAAATTCCCCCAACTCACCCTTCTCGTTACTCGTTTCCTTCGTATAACCGGTTCATTTATTGTGGTGTCTTCACATGGTGCCGGCATGCTCAACGTTTCATCCGGGCCCATTAATTGCGCGCCGAGCTGCGCGCGCCCCGTTTTGACAACTAAGCTGCAAATATCCTTATTAAAAATTATGTTCATTTTTTGAAACGAAGAAAAAACGGAACAATGGAACAAGAAACATCAAATATTCATAGAGTTTCAAAAAAAACGCAACAAAAACGCGAAGAAAGAGAAATTCAATTTAATTAAAGTGCTGCTACAAGATGCCAAAAATGTTTTGGGAGAAAATATGGACATATAGGGCCTGGAGGTAGGCGTTTTACTGAAATTCAGAAAAAATTTTTGATTATAGACAACATAAAATGAAAAGGTTCCAGGGGGATCAGGAACTTTTTTTTGAGAATCCAGGGCTAATACAGAATAATATTGTCAAAGAGGAATCAAGAGTCAAAAACCTGCAACGCGTTTGCGTTGCGGTCAATACAAAAAATCTCTCGTCTCTCAAGAGATTTCGAACATATGTCAAAGGTAAAAAAAATTCAAATTTGCCTGCGACGCGTGTGCGTCGCGGTCAATACAAAAAATCTCTCTCAATGTGTGCGTCTCTCAAATATTTTTCAAACAAAAAATTAAATTATCTTTTTGTATGAGAACTCTGATTTTTAGAAGAACACTAGAAAAATAAATAATAAATTAAATTATGTCTGGGCTCTCTTCTTTTCACATTGTCTCTAATATTATCAAAATAAAATTTTAGAGGCCCATAAACCCAACAAGTCCGAGTCACAAAAAAAATAAACAAAAAAATGAGCAGCAAAAAAGAGGCGTTCGTTGAAATGAGAACAGAACAAGTGCGAGATCCGAATGGTAAACTTTTCTTTTTTCAATTTTTTTTTCTCTCGTTTTTTTATCGCATCGCAGGTATTTGTTGCGAAGCAAAACGAAGCACAAAAAGAAAACGAACGGTGCCATTTCCATTCTTTTCTTTTTTTTCATAAAAGAAGAGAGCAACTGTTCTTTCTCAAATAAGTTGCGAAAAGTAGCAGGTGCAAAGTAGACATAAACACATTGTATATAATAAGATTTGAGGTTTGAGTTCAAAAAACCGCAGATGTGCCAAATAAATAGATAAATAAGTGAATGAAAAACACAATATGAATTGAAAAGAAACAAATTTCTCAAAAAAGTTTGGCAGGTGCCAGACAAGATTTAATTATGAGTTCAAAAAATCGCAGATGCACATTTTTGAATAGAATTACATAGCTAGTAAATCAAACACCGTATTCAATCAATCAATCAATGGGAACCTAATTTATTGTTAGAAGATTGAAAAATTGATACATTTTCATTTTCAAGAGCCTATAATTAGCATTAATGTGAGAAGTTGTTTTAAAACCCCAATTATTTTTTCATTCAAATTTGAATGAATGGAAAGGCAAGGGATTCAAATTGAAAAAAAAGAAAGTTTTGAATTGAGGAAAATGTAGGAAAATATTTTAATGGGCCTAATAAAAGAATATTAGAAATGATTCTGAAAATACAAAAAAAACTTTATGAGATGATTCAGAGAAAAAGAAAAATGTGGAAAAAAGTTTTCAAAAAAAATCGCCTCAGGAAATGTCAAAATTTTTTATCAGTTTTCAGTTTTCCAAAAAAAGTTCAAAAATATAAAAAAATTCCAAAAATCATCAGAAAAAAGTTCCAAAATCAGAGAAAATTCCAAAAGTTTTCTGAATAAATGCAGACTCTCAAAGATTTTGTCCAAAGTGCAAAAATACTGCTCATTAAAAGTCTCAAAAAAAGAAAAATACAAAAAATTTGTGCCAAGTACAGCCACCCGAATTTCAGCCAAGCTTCAGACTACAAAATGTTTTCTTTTTTCTCAAAAAATCCAAAGACAATCCAGTTTTGTTTTTTTCTAAAGTGAACTCACGAAAAAGGACGATACGATAAACATACAAAAGACGAAAAAAGGCGCGTTTTTTTCCGCTACACAAAAAAATCGATGAACAGAAATAAATGCACTTTTGAGCAAGCCTGTGAGCAAAAAACGTTGCGAAAAAATTGAGAGAAAAATGAATGCAGACTGAGCAATAGTACAAATGTCAAGAGTCAATGACATATTGTTATTATTTTTATTTATTTTTGGAAATTTATTTATTTTATTATCAAATGTTCATTCTTCTGAATAAAAAGAAGACTCAAAAAAAGTGTTTGAAAAAAAAGGAGAATTCTAAATTAGTCCATCCAAAGAGGTGTTGTTAAACATACGAATAATAATGAGGAGAATAAAAATAATAAGAAACAAGAGACGAAACATCAATGAATATACATTTTTTATAGGAGAAGACAGAAAAAATGGTATTTGCTCATTTTATAAAAAAAAAACGATCAGTCGAGTTTTTGTGTGTTTTATGATCTGATCTTCTTGTGTGTTTTAGTTAGTGTGAAACTTTTTGATCTTTGAATATTGCGTGAATTTTAATTATAGGTTTTTGAAAAAAATATGCGAGCTTTATTGAGCAGAAAAATATTTAAGGTTTCAAAAATTGGGGGTTTTTTTTTCTTTACTGACAAAAATTCTGGAATTCTCAAATCCTCAAATGATTTAGAACATTCCGTGTCAGGGATAGACTAATATTAATTGGATCAAATAATAACGCAAACATTTTAAGACCTGAGATTATCTATAAAGATAATCCCCATACATATCATAAAAATATGATGTTCTTTAAGAGAGAGAGATTCTGGAAATCTTGAAAATCGGGGAAAGGGTGAATCAATTCAAGAAATTTCAGACATTTTGAAAAAAAAATTAAAGATTTCAGGAATTTCTCAAAAATAACCCGGAAAAAATTAGGTTGAGAGAAATGCAAATTCGACAAAAAAATTTTAAAAATAAAAAATATTCTTCTTGTTCTGAAAAGGAGACATTTCTGAAAATTTAGTCATAATTTAAAAAAATCCCGGGAAATATTTTTGATCTTTCCCACAAATCCCAAAAGTTTCTAGATTTGATATTCAAGAAAAAAATCCAGAGAAATCTATATAAAAAAATCTGAAAAAACCTATCAAGTCTACATTCAAAAATTCCCCAAAAAATTTGACCTAAACAAATCTCAAGGTCTTTGTGAAAAAATCTCAAAAAATTAATATACGGTAGCTTCTCCATTTGAAAAAAAAAACATATTGGCCACCTAGACTGACCCAAATTCCATAAAGTGCAACATAAACAAGACAGAAAAAAAAGATGAAAGGGAAGAATGCAAAGAAGAACAACAAAAGTTCAGGGGAGGCAAAAAAAAAACCAAACCGAACCAAAAAAAACGAGATGACGAGAAGAAGAGATGAAAAAGAAAATAAGAAACGAGTAGACAAAATGTCAATAGTGTAGGGGGTGAGGAAGTAACAGCAACATTCATTCGAAACAAAAAAAAACGCAACAAAAACGGAATGTTGCAAGAAAATAAGTAGTTCGCGGTTCGAAAAGCAAAAAAAAAAGAATATTGTTTATACGGAAAAACCAGCCGGCAGTTTTTTGTTGAGAAGATGCCATACGCCACGCTACGAACATTTATTGAGCACTGAATAAACATTGGCAAGTGTTCATTTCAAGGCAAAAAGGAGAAATAAATAAAGATGAAGATTCGCGTTTTTTTTTGGAAGAACAAACATTTTTTTAACACAACACAACGCAACAAAAACTGTGTAGAAGGAAGAAGAAATAAAATGTTGTGTTACGAACAGCGATCGGGTTACACGCCAATTTTTTTGCGCGCCGATTCTTTGTTAGATATATATTTTTATGCGGTATATGTAGGTGTGTAATTTATGTTGAACTAGTTGCGGAAATTTTTTGGTGTAGATCAGAAATGTTTCCGTTCTGAAGGTCTTAAAATGGGGGGGGGGTTCTGTATGAAATTACATTTTTAAAATAGAATCCTAGAAAATGGGCCAGTAGATCTTCCTTTCAGAATCACTGAAGTGGATTAAAAATTAGTAGGAGCATAAATCCTGAAAATCAGATTTTCAGACGTGACTTACAGAGTTTCTGAAAGGCTAAGACCCAGATGTACAGAAAAGAAAGTTAGGCAAAGTCATGAATCTCTGTATTTCAGAAGCTATAAATCTTCAGGTTGAAAATTAGATCCTGTAGAATTCCAAGATCTTAGAACCCCCTTGATCTTCGGAATTCCCAAAATCCCCTAAATCCAGAAAAAAGTTCAGCTCAAATCCTATAATTTTCAGACTGTAACATTTATTTAGACTTTATGAACTTTTAGGCTAACATAAGCTGTAATTAATTTCAAAATGACTAAATAATTGTGGGTTTTGGTTTTGGAAAATGAACACTGTTAAAGATCTAGAGTTTTACAATTTTTTTGAATGGGGATTTTCAGGGAGAAAAAAGTTCGACTTCATGAAATTTAAAAAAAAAGGGAAAATTAATTAAGAAACAGTGAAACTGAAATTGAAGGTCTAGTGGTTCTTGAGAAAACAAAAAAGTTTTTCAAATCAGCTGAAAAACTGTAGATCAGATCCAAAGATAACAAAAAAATTGACCTAAATACCTGACAAATTGTAATAAGTTTATCTTTTCCTACGTTTTTTTTTCAAAAAAAAAATAATATTATTTTAAACGAAACAAGGAAAAAAACAATAAGCGTGGATTTTTCGGAGAAGAAATAAAAAAACCGGATTAATGCATGTAAAAGGGCGAATAAAAAGAAGAAATGAAATGAAAAGCCTTCCTTGGTTGGGGCGAAAAATGCAACAAATACAGGTGTTGAATGAAAAAGGGTGAGAAGAGAGAAACAAAAATAAATCAAAAATGTTTTGATCTACCAGAATACAGGGAACCCCAATTTTTTTTTTATTGTTGTAAATCTATATAGTACTGCTTATCATAATTTCTTTCGTTTCAACGTTGCTTTTATCATGTGAACTCAAAGATATTTCTTTTATTTGATAAGAATTTTGAACATCGCAACAATTTTTGCTGACCAACAAAAATCAGAACGCCATTTTATTGTATTTTGTAAGAAAAAAAGATAAAAATTGGC